CGGAAGGTGGGTGTTTCGATGCCCGGACCCGCTATACCAAAAGACGTTTAAAAGATTATACTTGTTGTTACCCTGCCTGGAGCTCGGCATTAAGGGGATAAAACAAGGACTCGTCGGCTCGAAGACGATAATCGGATTCAATGTTGAAAGTTCCAACGAAACTCAACATGGATATAATAAAGCACGCTGCACCCGAGGTTTGGTGCTGGTTGAGCGTTTGAGCCAAACGGGATAGATCCCCGTGGTTTGTATGAGAGAACAATTGCTTCAATATCAGCTTGTTATATGATATCCCATCACCGTGTCTCGGTGTAACAAAAGACAAACATCGTCAAGGCGACTTTCTTATGACCGTGCACGACATAGTGTTGGTATTGTCTCGGTGTTTGTTTGTTGGGCGAGTTTATATTATAAACACACATATATATGTACACACGGAGACCAGTTACTGTCACCTCGCTGTATACATTACCTGGTGATCGAGCGCATCGACGCAGGTGGTGGGTTTACAGATCTCTTTGGGCGCGGCGTTTCATTGTTCAAGGGTGCTTGGAATAACAGAGTGGTGCTGTGTTATCGTGAAGGTTAATATTTGGTCGATGTATATAATTCTCTTTGCCTATGCAGCATACATAATGTTCATGTGTTAAGGTTTACCAATAAATGTTATACTGTCCCTATAGAGAAAATCTTGGAGATATTACGACCATGACGTAAAGATTGTGTTTCTACTTAATTTCTGTCGATGACATCTTGAGTCGTGGTCATTGCTTTGTACTACATTCCCAAGACATATTAATAGGGAGGTGAGGTGAGGTGAAATGGGGTTTAACGTCGCGTCCAAGATTATTGCACTTATATAGCGACATGCATGTACGTGTGTGTGTGTGTGTGGCTGCTTGTACTAGTCCGGACTGATGCCGATGTATAGAGCTAGCACACTGAGATACCATGCCGCAGTTTAACATGAATACCACTCAGACAGTATACTGTATACTGACTCCGAGCCGACCAGTCTTTGTTTTAGCCCCTTAATGCCGAGCGCCAGACAGGGTAACAACAAGTACCATCTTTTAACGTCTTTTGGTATGGCGCGGCCGGGGATCGAACCCGGGACCTTCCGCTCTCCGGGCGGACGCTCTACCTCTAGACCACGGAGGCGGTCATTAATAGGGAGGAGTTCGGTAACACAATGAAAGTAGTTTCTTGGTTTTGAAAAACCTCTCGATTATTACCGGTCGTGTGAATGAAAGACATGTTCAAGGAAAGAACTCACAATGACAGCTCAGTGGATTGTAGTCTGTCATACAATGTCCGAAACAAATATATCCAATACAGCCCTCGCAAGTCTATCAAAAATATCAAGTCTAGATTGATGCAGAATGAAGAACGTTTTTTGGCTCCTTCTCATTATATTTTATTAAGATAATTTAGTAACAGTTTTTGCTGTAAAAATTGTTCATTCCAGAGACTAGTTGTTGGTCTGAAAGGATTACTTTCCTTCTTATACTGATTTACTTAGAGGGTGGGGAAAGGACTTTGCGGTAGGGGAAAATGAGTTTGTGGGTGGTAACAGAGACTTTGTGGGTGGGAACAGGGACATTGTGGGTGGGGAAAGGGACTTTGTGGGTGGGGAAAGGGACTTTGTTGGTGGGGAAAGGGACTTTGTGGGTGGGGAAAGGGACATTGTGGGTGGGGAAAGGGACTTTGTGGGTGGGGAAAGGGACGTTGTGAGTGGGGAAAGGGACTTTGTTGGTGGGGAAAGGGACGTTGTGGGTGGGGAAAGGACTTTGTGTCTGGGGAAAGGGACGTTGTGGGTGGGAAAGGACTTTGTCGGTGGGGAAAGGACTTGACGGTGGGGAAAGGACTTTGTGGGTGGTAACAGGGACTTTGTGGGTGGTGAAAGGACTTGACTCTGGGGAAAGAATTTGACGGTTGGGAACGGGACTTTGTGGGAGGGTGGGGAAAAGGATTTTGTGGGTGGGGAAAAGGACTTTGTGGGTGGGGAAAGAACTTTGTGTCTGGGGAAAGGGACTTTTTGAGGATGGGAAAGGACTTTGTCGGTGGGAAAAGGGACTTTGTTGGTTGGGAAAGGACTTGACGGTGGGGAAAGGACTTTGTGGGTGGTAACAGGAACTTTGTGGGTGGGGAAAGGACTTGACTCTGGGGAAAGAATTTGACGGTTGGGAACGGGACTTTGTGGGAGGGTGGGGAAAAGGATTTTGTAGGTGGGGAAAAGGACTTTGTGGGTTGGGAAAGAACTTTGTGTCTGGGGAAAGGGACTTTTTGGGATGGGAAAGGACTTTGTCGGTGGGAAAAGGGACTTTGTTGGTGGGGAAAGGACTTTGTTGGTGGTAACAGGGACTTTGTGGGTGGGGAAAGGACTTGACTCTGGGGAAAGAATTTGACGGTTGGGAACGGGACTTTGTGGGAGGGTCGGGAAAAGGACTTTGTGGGTGGGGAAAAGGACTTTGTGGGTGGGGAAAGGGACTTTGTGGGTGGGGAAAGGACTTTGTCGGTGGGAAAAGGGACTTTGTTGGTGGGGAAAGGACTTTGTTGGTGGTAACAGGGACTTTGTGGGTGGGGAAAGGACTTGACTCTGGGGAAAGAATTTGACGGTTGGGAACGGGACTTTGTGGGAGGGTCGGGAAAAGGACTTTGTGGGTGGGGAAAAGGACTTTGTGGGTGGGGAAAGGGACTTTGTGGGTGGGGAAAGGACTTTGAGGGTGGGAACAGGGACATTGTGGGTGGGGAAAGGACTTTGTGGGTGGGGAAAGGGACTTTGTGGGTGGGGAAAGAATTTGACGGTGGGGAACGGGACTTTGTGGGTGGGGAAAGGAATTTGTGGGTGGAGAGAGGGACTTGGACGAGATAAAAAGGGATTTGGGGCTGCTGGAAAAGGGATTTGAGGATGATTAATGTGTGTGTAAGTGTTTGTGTGTGAGAGAGGGGGGGGGGGGGGGGGGGGGGAGAAAGATGGGGACGGGGGTGAGGGAAGAGGGGGCAGGTTTGCGAGATATACTGGTGTTGATTGTAGCTTCCACTGACAATACATCTTTGTATACGACATTCAGATATTTAATAACATAAAATGAGAAAAGAAACATCACTTGTCACTCTTCATTGATTTGTGATCGAGGATAACCTTTTTTCCACAAACATAAAAGACAATTCATAGAAGAAATATTCCTTACGCAGACATCACAAAGTCTGCTTATCTTCCAGGTAGACATACGATTGATGGGAAGACCTAAAAATGTATTTAATGTAAACATATATCACGAGATGCAACTTCTTGCACATCTCATTGGTTGAATGCAGATAGCGTCCGCGTATTTATAGGATAACGAAATAAAAAGGGTTCTGTGTTAGTTGTATCAACTGAAATGTCCTCTTTATCTGCACGAAATAAAGAAAGAACAAACACAATAACCTAGTTTTAAACCTCTAAGAGATCAAAGGAGTGCTGATCGACTTTAATCTAAGAGAGGAAACGAAAATCAGATAATTAATCCTCTGTTCTATCCAGTTACATCCAATTGAAAACTTGGATGTAAATCCACGTCTCCTCATGGGGACTGTGTCAGCGCCGATTCTTCGCCACCTCTATTACAATTTATCATGATAAATAAATGATTACTTCAGGATCTTCCAATCTAGTTGGTGTTTGTCCATTTAGTTCATCACAGTAACAAAATAACTTCCACACACATGCTACCTTATATCCTCCAAAGATATTACAAAAATAGTATATATTTTCTTTGATACGACCCCTCCAAAGTGAAGCTGTTGAGTGTGGAAGGTGAGCTGACTTGTGATTAGTCACGTGATTGATATCGCGTCTTGTCTGTGGGGGTGTTTTCAATTAATTCTTTCTTCTGGCCGAATTCTTACACAATGAAATCAGTTATAAACTAAGACAGGTGTTTGAGGTCAATCTCGCCATGCAGAGGTAGTGTAGTCTTCCGGGGCCTCTAGCAGATCCGGTGGGCTGGGGTGATGGACTGATTGTTCGGGATGAGGCTGGGGGTGGGGGTGGGGGTGGGGGTGGGGGTGGGGGTGTCGGTGGGGTCGGCGCGGGCGTGGTTTTACATAACGATATCTAGGAAACGCCCTCCTTATGGGTATCACAGTTCATACCGCTATAAGGAGATAAAACAAGGACTGGTCGGCTCGGAGTGTGTGAGCGGTGTATCCATGTCAGACTGCGGCATAACGTTTCATTGGGTTTCTGACTATAAAACCAGCATAAGTCTGGACAATTACAAGCGAGCACCGGCTCTTTCACACATACACTTATACACACTCACACATACACACACTAACACACACACACTCACACACACATACACGCGCACACACACACGTACACACTTACATTCACACACTCACACATACACTTATACACACTCACACAAACACACAAACACACACACACTCACACACATACACGCGCACACACACACGTACACACTTACATTCACACACTCACACATACACTGATACACACTCATACACACACATACATACACTAACACATACATACACTAACACATACAAGCACGTGCACACACACATATACGCACACGCGCACACACACATATACACACACACATACACACTTACATTCACACACTCACTACACATACAATCACTCATACAGACGCGCACACTCACTCACACATAAACACACACACACAAACACTAACACACACACTCAAAGACATACGTCTTGAGCGCAACGTTGCCTCACACACCATCCACAATCCTGCAGCATCGGTTAACAAAACTGCTGCTATAAAACAGGACTAACACAATGGGTTTTAATTATTGAGTGAGTGAGTGTGTTTTCACGCCGTGAATCGTTAATTACGCATTGACTGACTGACTGACTGACTGACTCACTGACTGACTGACTGACTCACTGACTGACTGACTCACTCACTCACTCACTCACTCACTCACTCACTCACTCAGGCCTATCAATAATTTATTTCCAGGCATGGCGTGTCCCTCCGGTACGACGGGTATGACGACACCCTCCCCAACGTCTAAGCCGCTAGTGAAGGATGTGAGGATACCCCTGGCCTTGTACCCGCTGTATTACGACATAGAAATCAGGCCCAACATGTACGAAGGTGCGGCCGAAAACTTCACCTTCAATGGCTTCACAAGAATCCAGCTCCGCTGTGACACGCCCACAAGAAACGTAACCCTGCACACCAACAAACTCCAGATCACTCCCGGAAGTCTGGAATTTGGGGCGGAACCTGGAACAGCCGCAGCGCCCTCTATCGAGAACTGGGAATGGGACAAGGACCGACAATTCATGGTGATTCATCTTGACGGGCTGCTTGTGAAAGATGGCCTTTACTATGTGAAGATGAATTATACCGGACCTCTGTCTGACGACCTGCATGGACTCTATCTGTCTAAATACGAACAGAATAATGATACGATGTAAGTTTATTTATCACATAACGGATAGCGTTGTCGATGCGAAAAACTAATCCGATAATCGTGGTATCACGATCCAATAAATATACGTTTAATCTCCATGAATCAATGTTTAAATAGATGTTTTCTATCATTCCTAATAAATGATGTTAACAATACACTCAACTAATAATGTTTATTTAGAAATACTGCCTCCTTTGTGGGTTTCCTCGGATCGGTAAAAATATGGTACTTGTTGTTACCCTGCCTGGCGCTCAGCATTAAGGGGCTAAAACAAACTGGTCGGCTCGGAGTCACTATACTGTGTCTGAGTGGGGTTTTCATGTTAAACTACGTCATGGTATCTCAATGGGCTAGCACTTTAAGTCGGCATCAGTCCGGACTAGTACAAGCAGCCACACACACACACGCACGCACGCATGAACGCACGAACGCACGCACGCACACGTCACAGTATAAGTACGGTAATTTTAAACCCGACCCCATTTCACCTCACCTTACAAAGTTATCTTTGTTTCATGTAGCTACGTCGCTGCGACCCAGTTCCAGCCCACGGACGCCCGGAAGACATTTCCCTGTTTTGACGAACCCGCCATCAAGTCTAACTTCAATATCACCTTGGTCAGGAAGAACCATCTCAAGTCTCTGTCCAACATGCCAATCATAGACTCTCAGGACAGGTAAGCTACAGCGCCTCATCCACTGCAGTTAGCTGTACTAGCTGGCATCGCTTAAGTTTTCTTATTTGCAAAAAGTAGGCATTCTCTGTCAAGTTCCATGATTGTGTATTGTGTACATACCAAAAGATATGTAAATGCAAGGCTAAATACGAAAATACCAGGCTAAATATTATATACTCTTCTAAAATAGAAACGCAAAACGGATATTTTTTGCCATAAATGCAAAATATACGGGACAAAATGTGCAAAATGAAGAGGTTGAATGTGTTATAGTGTCAGTGACAAACTTTCCGGATCAAAATGATCACAACAAGGACATCCAAACCATTAGTCGGGAAACATGTACGATTCGGAAAAACGCACCCAGTGCAATAACAAAAGGGCCATGGAGCTGCACGCACTGCACGTGTAGCAGCACTATGAAAGGTGTTAAAGTGCAGGGTTTTTGATTGCCTGGCATCTGCGTCAATCGAACAGTGACAGTTCAACAGCATGCCAAGATTAACACAAGTGCAGAGAAACAACGTCATAGGCCGCTTGCAGGCAGGGGAATCCCGATCAGATGTAGCGCCAAGCACCATCACAAGGCTATGGGATCGGTTTCAACAGCATGGCTCAAGGTCGGGACGACCAAGAGTAACCACCTCCAAGAGTAACCAAGATCGCTACATCCGACTGCGCCACCTACGTGGAGGACGACCGCAGCCACCTCAGCCGCATCCCAAATACCCGGACTGCGCAGAATCTCCGAACAGACCGTACGTAACCGTTTAAGAACAGCATGTCTACGAGCAAAGACGTCCTGTTCAACGCGTCATACTGAGTCGACAACATCGTCGACAACGGCTGCATTGGTGTCGTCAACACAGGGTATCGTCTCAAGTGCGATGGAGAGATGTCTGGTTCAGCGACGAATCAAGATTTCTCCTCCGTCGAGGGGATGGAAGAGCACGGGTCTACAGACGTCGGTGAGAACGTTACGCCGGAGGTTTGGATGGGGTAGCGTTATGATGTTGGCGGCTATTTCTCATCATGGCAGGACAGGTTTGGTCCATATCCAGGGCAATCTTACGGTTCAACAATACACCAACGAAATTCTCCTACCACACGTCCACGCAATTGGAGCCAACGGCAACGGTGTATTCCAGCAGGACAATGCTCGACCGCATACCGCGGGGATCACAAGAGCCTGTCTACACAACAACATTGTCGATGTTCTCCCCTGGCCCTCACGATCCCCTGATTTGAACCCGATAGAGCACCTTTTGGATAAATTGGATAGACGGCTACGCCGACTTCAACCACAACCCAAGACGTTGCAGTAGTTGTTTTTTGCGTTGCAGGCCGAGTGGGCTACCATTCCCCAGGATGTAATTCGCATACTCGTCTCTACCATAAGCAGGAGATGTCAGGGCGCTATCGATTCCAACGGGGGACATACGCGTTACTGATGGTAGCTGACCTTCACCTTTGTTTTTTCCTATGTACCGATAAATGAGATGACTACATTCACCAAGCGTTCTCTCCACAACTTCATGACTCGATGCCTTGTACGGTTCCTCGAATAAATGTATTTTCCAACCTCACACGAATCTGACTTTGCGTTTCTTTTTCTGAAGAGTATATGTCAATACCAGGTAAGACATTTAAATACCAGCCGAAATATGTACATACCAGGCCAAATATGTAAATACCAGACTAAATATGTAAATGTCATACCAAATATGTTGATGCCAGGCCAAATTTGAAAGCAATATGTGTGCCATATATGTAAAAATCAGTCCATTTATGTAAATGCCATGTAATATATTTTAATACCAGGTCAAACTTTTAAATACCAGGCCAAATATGTAAACTTGTAAAAGAGTTTGTTTGTTTGTTTGTTTTGATAAATAAAGTAAGTTCTCATTGTTTCTCTAAATTGTATACTGGCTTTGCTGTATTGCTCTCTCTATGTGACTTCAGTGTACTAGCATTTGCCTTCCTGAAAATTCCGGGTTCCAATTGGTCTTCAGCAGCCCATATTTTTAACTTTTGAGACGATCCCCTATTCAACCGATTGACTGGTGTTACATGTTTTTCAGGGGAGACAACTGGGTGGCCGATGTTTATCAGACAACTCCGAAGATGCCGACATACCTGCTTGCTTTTATCGTGTGCAACTTTGAATATACCAATGAAACTACGAGTAACGATATACTGGTGAGTTAACGAAAGTACGAGTTATCAGGAGAAGCCTTTGTGCGTCGACCGCCTCCGTGGTCTAGTGGTAGAGCGTCCGCCCGGAGAGCGGAAGGTCCGGGGTTCGATTCCCGGCCGCGTCATACCAAAAGACGTTAAAAGATGGTACTTGTTGTTACCCTGTCTGGCGCTCGGCATTAAGGGGTTAAAACAAGGACTGGTCGGCTCGGAGTCAGTATACTGTGTCTGAATGGGGTATTCATGTTAAACTGTGGCATGGTATCTCAGTGGGCTAGCAGTATAAATCGGCATCAGTCCGGACTAGTACAAGCAGCCACACACACACGCATGCACGTCGCTATATAAGAGCAATAATCTTGGACGCGGCGTTAAACCCCATTTCACCTCACCTCACCTTTGTGCCTTACAACATATGCATATTTAACTAAACTAAACCAGCATTTGATCAGAGGTTGAGAGTGTGTGAATATTGTTTTACGCCGCTTTTAGCAATATTCCAGCAATATCACGGCGGGGGACACCGGAAATGGGCTTCACACATTGTACCCATGTCGGGAATCGAACCCGGGCCTTTGGCGTGACCAGCGAACGCTTTAACCACTACGCTACCCGACCGCCCCTCATGGGTTGAGAGGCGTGTGTGCTTGCACTTGTCCCGCTTAATGGTGGTTTTATACTGCTAGCCCAGTCAGATACATACCACGCCGCTGTTTAACATGGATACCCAACCCAGACACAGTATACTGACTCCGAGCCGATCAGCCATTCTTTATCCTCTTAATGCTGAGCGCCAGACAGGGTAACAACAAGTGCCTTCCTTTTAGTTGTTTTGGCGTAACTGATCTTCCGCTTCAGGACAGACACTCTATCCAATAGATAACAGATGCGGCCATTTTATTGTTTGTTTAGAAATTAAGTGTATTTTACATGAAGTAGTATAACAGCTATCGTCCTTGTCACTTGAAATAGAATCACGACATATCGCGATGATGAATTATCGAAGATGGCTGCATGTGTGCGAACACTTATGAAGTGAAAACAAGCCATTCCGTCAATAAGAACTGTTACTTAAAGGAATGGCAAATATTGCAACGTGAATTTTTCAAGAAATATCCCTTGTGCCCGCGATAAACAGTGAGTGAGTGAGTGAGTATGGTTTTACGCCGCTTTTAGCAATATTCCAGCAATATCACGGCGGGGGACACCAGAAATGGGCTTCACACATTGTATCCATGTCGGGAATCGAACCCGGGTCTTCGGCGTGACGAGCGAACGCTTTAACCACTAGGCTACCCCACCGCCCCCAGCGATAAACATCATAATGGCGTATAGATCTCATGGTAACAATCCGAGTAAGAATCGACCATCAGTGCGAACGCTTTGCCCACTAGGCTATCGTACCATTCCTTAGGCAGGGTAGAGACAGGTGTTTCCAAAGTCGGTCGGGGCGAGGCGTGGCAGTCATGTGGACACAAAACAACTTTTGTTCCTTATGAGACGACCAATAACGCGGAAATACGTCGACATAACTTCAGGCGTTTTCGAAGCGTTTCCTCGTCGTTTTCTGTTTTCCCGAAAGCGTTCACCCGTGTATAACCCGGGTTCGTTTCCGACACAGTACAATGTTGACGACCTTTCGAGTGTTTCCCGTCAAGATATGACTGGTACTGCTACTCACTCACTCATTCACGGACACTTTAAGTGACATGCTGTGTTGTGTTTGCAGTACAGGGCGTGGTCCAGGCCGGAGTCGGTGGACCAGACCCCCTACGCCCTTGATGTGGGGGTGAAAGTCCTAACCTATTTTGAGAAGTACTTTGATGTCAAGTTCCCTCTCCCAAAACAAGGTGAGTTGATGAGTGAATAGATCAGTGGGTGAGTAGGTGAGTGAGTTGTGTTTAACGCCGCTTTTAACCGTATTCCAGTTATATCGTGGCGTGTCAGCTTAGTGTGGGTGGAACGCCCGAAGTGATGCAGGTCTTAGACGTTTACCACTTCGGTGAAACCCACGAGCACGGGTATGGTGCTGATAAACCTAGAACATAATCGGGGTGAACCGGGATTCGAACCCACAATCAAAGGTTTCTGGCGTGTCCAGGGGACGCAACTCTGCACAGCGAATCGCGGCGCCTTAGACGACTGGGCCACCCGTGCCCCAATCACCAAGTCAGCGAGCCTGACCACCCAAACCCGTTAGTCGCCTCTTACAACAAGCATAATTGCCTGTTACGGCAAGTACGTGTTGCTGAAGACCTGTTTAAACACGCACCTGTACAGTATTTCAGTCACGCCACCGTGTGTCAAATATGGATTGAGTGAGTGAGTGAGTGAATTTTGACGCCGCTTTCAACAGTACTCTATGTATGTCACGACGTGTAAGCTTTATGTTGGAGGAATGCATACAGTCAAGCAGGATGTTTAAGGTTTCGGGTGAAACCCACAAGCATTATGTTTGAGTATTGTAAAAGTTTGCTTAATATTCCTTCCAGACATGATAGCCATTCCTGATTTTGCTGCTGGAGCCATGGAGAACTGGGGGCTGATCACATACAGGGAGACGGCTATGTTGTATGAACCGGGAGTGTCTTCAGAGGGCAACAAGCAGAGAGTCGCGGTGGTCGTGTCTCATGAACTGGCGCATCAGGTGTGTTCTGTGAACACTTGTATGGACCGTTGTGTGAACACTTGTTGGAACTGTTGTGTGAACACTTGTATGAACCGTTGTATAAACACTTGTATGAACGGTTGTGTGAACACTTGTATGAACCGTTGTATGAGCACGTGTATGAACGGTTGTGTGAACACTTGTATGAACGGTTGTGTGTACACTTGTATGAACCGTTGTGTGAACACTTGTATGAACCGTTGTGTAAACACTTGTATGAACCGTTGTATAAACACTTGTGTGAACCGTTGTTTAAACACTTGTATGAACCGTTGTGTGAACACTTGTATAAACGGTTGTGTGAACACTTGTATGAACCGTTGTGTGTACACTTGTCTGAACCGTTGTATCAACATTTGTATGAACCGTTGGGTGAACTATTGTATGAACCATTGTATCAACACTTGTATGAACCGTTGTGTGAACACTTATATGAACCGTTGTGTGAACACTTGTCTGAACCGTTGTGTGACACTTGTATGAACCGTTGTGTGAACACTTGTATGAACCGTTGTATAAACATTTGTATGAACCGTTGTGTGAACACTTGTATGAACCATTGTATAAACACTTGTATGAACCGTTGTGTGAACGCTTGTCTGAACCGTTTTGTGAACACTTGTATGAACGGTTGTGTGTACACTTGTATGAACCGTTGTATAAACACTTGTATGAACCGTTGTGTGAACGCTTGTCTGAACCGTTTCGTGAACACTTGTATGAACCGTTGTGTGAACACTTGTATGAACCGTTGTATAAACACTTGTATGAACCGTTGTGTGAACACTTGTGTGAACCGTTGTATAAACACTTGTATGAACCGTTGTGTGAACACTTGTATGAACCGTTGTGTGAACACTTGTATGAACCGTTGTGTAAACACTTGTATGAACGGTTGTGTGTACACTTGTCTGAACCGTTGGGTGAACATTTGTATGAACCGTTGGGTGAACACTTGTATGAACCATTGTATCAACACTTGTATGAACCGTTGTATAAACACTTGTTTGAACCGTTGTATAAACACTTGTTTGAACCGTTGTATAAACACTTGTTTGAACCGTTGTGTGAACACGTGTATGAACCGTTGTGTAAACACTTGTTTGAACCGTTGTGTGAACACTTGTATGAACCGTTGTGTAAACACTTGTTTGAACCGTTGTGTGAACACTTGTATGAACCGTTGTGTAAACACTTGAATGAACCGTTGTGTGAACACTTGTATGAACCGTTGTGTGAACACTTGTATGAACCGTTGTGTAAACACTTGTTTGAACCGTTGTGTGAACACTTGTATGAACCGTTGTGTAAACACTTGTTTGAACCGTTGTGTAAACACTTGTATGAACCGTTGTGTAAACACTTGTATGAACCGTTGTGTAAACACTTGTTTGAACCGTTGTGTAAACACTTGTATGAACCGTTTTGTGAACACTTGTTTGAACCGTTGTGTAAACACTTGTATGAACCGTTGTGTAAACACTTGTTTGAACCGTTGTGTGAACACTTGTATGAACCGTTGTGTAAACACTTGTTTGAACCGTTGTGTGAACACTTGTTTGAACCGTTGTGTAAACACTTGTATGAACCGTTGTGTAAACACTTGTTTGAACCGTTGTGTGAACACGTGTATGAACCGTTGTGTGAACACTTGTATGAACCGTTGTGTGTACACTTGTATGAACCGTTGTGTAAACACTTGTATGAACCGTTGTGTGTACACTTGTATGAACCGTTGTGTAAACACTTGTTTGAACCGTTGTGTGAACACTTATATGAACCGTTATATAAACACTTGTATGAACCGTTGTGTGAACACTTGTATGAACCGTTGTGTAAACACTTGTATGAACCGTTGTGTAAACACTTGTATGAACCGTTGTGTAAACACTTGTATGAACCGTTGTGTAAACACTTGTTTGAACCGTTGTGTGAACACTTATATGAACCGTTATATAAACACTTGTATGAACCGTTGTGTGAACACTTGTATGAACCGTTGTGTAAACACTTGTATGAACCGTTGTGTAAACACTTGTATGAACCGTTGTGTAAACGCTTGTATGAACCGTTGTGTAAACGCTTGTATGAACCGTTGTGTGTACGCTTGTATGAACCGTTGTGTGAACGCTTGTCTGAACCGTTGTGTAAACACTTGTATGAACCGTTGTGTAAACACTTGTATGAACCGTTGTGTGTACACTTGTATGAACCGTTGTGTGTACACTTGTCTGAACCGTTGTGTGTACACTTGTCTGAACCGTTGTGTAAACACTTGTATGAACCGTTGTGTAAACACTTGTATGAACCGTTGTGTAAACACTTGTATGAACCGTTGTGTAAACACTTGTATGAACCGTTGTGTGTACACTTGTATGAACCGTTGTGTGTACACTTGTATGAACCGTTGTATAAACACTTGTATGAACCGTTGTGTAAACACTTGTATGAACCGTTCTGTGTACACTTGTGTACAACTGGGGCGATGTGGCTAAACAAGTGCTCTTTATCTACAGTGGTTTGGTGACCTTGTGACGCCGTCATGGTGGGACGACCTCTGGTTAAACGAGGGCTTCGCCAGCTTCGTGGAATACATGGGAGTGGACTTCGTTCATCCAGACTGGAAGATGGTAAGTTATGCCCTGATGAAATATATTATCTTTTCCTCGCAACTGTGTGTGTAAGCTCTACTTTTTAATGGGTGGAGAGGTGTTAATAGGTTCCAGATGGCGGAATGTATGTGTGTATGTAGTTATGCCTTGTGTTGGACATTTTGAGCAGTTTGTGGTGGAGGATCTCAGGGACGTGTGTATGTAGTTATACCTTGTGTTAGAGCAGTTTGAGCAGTTTGTGGTGGAGGTTCTCAGGGACGTGTGTATGTAGTTATGTCTTGTGTTGGGCACTTTGTGCTGCAGGATCTCAAGGACGTGGGTATGTAGTTATACCTTGTGATGGACAGTTTGAGCAGTTTGTGGTGGAGGATCTCAGGGACGTGTGTATGTAGTAATGCCTTGTTTTGGGCAGTTTGTGGTGGAGGATCTCAGGGACGTGTGTATCTAGTTATGCCTTGTGTTGGGCAGTTTGAGCAGTTTGTGGAGGGGGATCTTAGGGATGTGTGTATGTAGTTATGTCTTGTGTTAAGTTTGAGCAGTTTGTGGAGGGGGATCTTAGGGATGTGTGGATGTAGTTATACCTTGTGTTGGACAGTTTGAGCAGTTTGTGGTGGAGGATCTCAGGGACGTGTGTATGTAGTAATGCCTTGTGTTGGGCAGTTTGTGGTGGAGGATCTCAGGGACGTGTGTATCTAGTTATGCCTTGTGTTGGGCAGTTTGAGCAGTTTGTGGAGGGGGATCTTAGGGATGTGTGTATGTAGTTATGTCTTGTGTTAAGTTTGAGCAGTTTGTGAAGGGGGATCTTAGGGATGTGTGGATGTAGTTATGCCTTGTGTTGGGCAGTTTGTGGTGGAGGATCTCAGGGACGTGTGTATCTAGTTATGCCTTGTGTTGGGCAGTTTGAGCAGTTTGTGGAGGGGGATCTTAGGGATGTGTGTATGTAGTTATGTCTTGTGTTAAGTTTGAGCAGTTTGTGGAGGGGGATCTTAGGGATGTGTGGATGTAGTTATACCTTGTGTTGGACAGTTTGAGCAGTTTGTGGTGGAGGATCTCAGGGACGTGTGTATGTAGTAATGCCTTGTGTTGGGCAGTTTGTGGTGGAGGATCTCAGGGACGTGTGTATCTAGTTATGCCTTGTGTTGTACAGTTTGAGCAGTTTGTGGAGGGGGATCTTAGGGATGTGTGGATGTAGTTATGCCTTGTGTTTTACAGTTTGAGCAGTTTGTGGTGGAGGATCTCCAGGACGTCTTCGACTTCGACAGCCTCATCTCTTCACATCCCGTGTACGTCCCCGTCGCCCACCCTGACGAGATCAATGAGATATTTGACAGGATCTCATACGCAAAGGTAGGATCATCCTCGGCGCACAGGCATACAATATAACATATGATTACCACCTTCCAATCATAAATGAACCAACTACTGACAATGACTACTGACTCTTATCGAATATTATTATAATATATAATGACAGATATGATAAATAACATTATCATTATATCGTACCTATAAATATTGACTTCAATGTATTTTGCGTTTATACACAAAGCATACACGCCGATTTTTTAAGTTTATAACTCCATAACGCCAAAACAAAGAAATACTGTTTAGATGAGTGTTAGAATAGGTCTTCAGCAACCCATGTAAAAGGCAACTATGCTTGTCGTAAGAGGCGACTAACGGGATCGTGTGGTCAGACTCGATGACTTCGTTTATGCATGCCATCATTGTTGCGGCGTTTAACATAATACAAAAACAAAAACGAAAGTTAATTCTTATAAATAAATAAACAAATAAAGTACACAACAATACGAAATCGCAATAATACAACACACGCCCCGCCAATCCTATTATCAGTCAATCACGAAACAGTTATCCGTTCGTGGGCGTGGCCTATTTTCTATTTTACAATAGATACTTGTTTAGCCAATCAAATGCAACGGAATCACTTACAATTTATTTATAGGAATCTACCGTGTGGCTATTATTTTATTGCTTATTGCTATTGTGTATGTTTTATCTTCTGGTAGATTTTGTACGCAGATCCATAATGCTCACTGCGTAATAAGTCTTTTTCTCTATCACAGTGTGCATGTGTTTACTTGTTACTGAACAAACAAGGATCATGTTGCAGGGTGCCTCCATTATCAGGATGATGCGGTTCTTCCTCGGGGAGGAGACGTTCCGGGTCGGTCTATCTGTAAGTATCTGTATGTTCCTTGTTTGCCTTAAGGTGGTATAAATGAGAGAGTGAATGTTGTTTAACACCGCGATCTTCCTCGGGGAGGAGGTTCCAGCTCGGTCTATCTGTAAGTATCTGTATGTCCCTTGTTTGCCTTAAGGTGGTATAAATGAGAGAGTGAATGTTGTTTAACGCCGCGATCTTCCTCGGGGAGGAGGTTCCAGCTCGGTCTATCTGTAAGTATCTGTATGTTCCTTGTTTGCCTTAAGGTGGTATAAATGAGAGAGTGAATGTTGTTTAACGCCGCGATCTTCATCGGGGAGGAGGTTCTAGCTCGGCCTCTCAGTACGTATCTGTATATTCCTTGTTTGCCTTAAAGGGGAAGTGTACACGCAAAAACCACTTTCTTTCTTTTTCTAAACAAAACGCAATTTTAGAATTAGTTAGTATCTGTGTTTGAAAATATACACTCATTTTTTTCACAGTGAAAGTAGGAAGCTCACAATTGTGTGAAAATGATATGCCGTTATGAGGCCTTCGTTTTTCGAGCTAAACAGGCCTGAGTTATCCCCCTTAGATTATGACGTAATTGGTGCCAATTCAACTGGGTCCCTGTCTATTCTGAACGCAAAAGATATCAAGTACCAGTTTTCGGTAAAACAACATGGCCTACGACACACTCCGGCGCAGTGGTGACTCAGCATTACACTATGCTGGCTGGCATCTGAGACGCTAGAATCACACACCTATACCTACACCACGTGAAGCGGCTCTAACAAAGCATGATGACGTCATAATGTTTATCAATTGGCACCAATGACGTCATATTGCAAGGGGCATAAGCCATGGTGTTTTTGTTATGGAAATAGAACACTTGGTAAATGTGAAAAATATAAATCGTTTTAATGCAAAACATATGTTAATTAATTGTGATATTTTTATATTTTTGTCTATGACACTTCTAGGTTAACACTTTTATTGTGGAAAAAGTACAAGAAAATTAGGTTCATTTCCGTGTGAACTTGCCCTTTAAGGTGGTATAAATGAGAGAGTGAATGTTGTTTAACACCGCGATCTTCCTCGGGGAGGAGGTTCCAGCTCGGTCTATCTGTAAGTATCTATATGTTCCTTGTTTTCATTTAGGTGGTATAAACGCGAGGGTGAATGTTGGTTAACGCCAAGATCTCGGGGAGGAGACGTTACGTTCTCTCTCTCTCTCTCTCTCTCTCTCACTCTCTCACTCTCTCTCTCTCTCTCTCTCTCTCTCTCTCTCTCTCTGCCACTCTATCTCTCTCTCTGCCACTCTCTCTCTCTCTCTCTGCCACTCTCTCTATATGTCACTCTCTGCCACTCTCTCTATATGTCACTCTCGCATCTGTCTCTCTCTCTCACCTTTGTCCCGGTCTCTCTCTCACTCTCTCTCTCTCTCTCTCTTCCTCCTCCTCTTTTCTCCCTCCCTCCCCTTTTCTGTCTCTTTCTCAAACTTTGTCTCTCTTTCTCTCTCACTTAATCATTCTCTCCATCTCGTCTCTGTTACAGAACTACCTCAAGAGTAAGGCCTACGGTGCTGCGTTTCACGACGATCTGTGGACAGCCCTCACCAAAGTGAGTCCGACATCTGCATGTCGCCGGCAGTTGGCCGGTTTTCAAAAGCTATAATCCCCGTAATATTTGACAGACCATAAGTGTTCACATAATTTATATTTTCATTATATTTCAGTTTTTCTATTTAAAGGATACAAAACGAAACATACCTTACTTATTCTCGCACTTGCGACGTTGATATATGTAGCACCTTTGTGAGAAGTCGTGGGGAAATACTCTCCAAACTTTAAGTATCAAATTTAATGACAAATTCCCACATCCCCATCCCCATCGAAACAAAGCAAGTTCATATTAGGAGGAACAACAAATTCCACTATAGTGCCTCAGGTTAATGTCGTATCAAGCGTTTCGTTTGTTTGTTGTTGTTGTTGTTGTTAAACGCCACACTCAGCAATATTCCAGCTATATCATGGCGGTCTGTCATTAATCAAGTCAGGACCAGACGATTTAGTGATTGACATCATTAGCACTGATCCACACAAATGGGTTACGATGACATGAATCAACCAAGTCAACGAAACTGACCACCCGATCCCGTTAGTTGCCTCATACGACAAGCATAGTCGGCATTTCATTTACGGCAAGCATGGGTTGCTGAAGACCTATTCTATAACCCGGATCTTCACAGGTCCTGAAATTATGCATGTCTAAAGAAAATGTAATGGCCTATGAAAAGGTTTATGTGGATTTGGTATGTACGATATTTTTTAGAGAGTAAGAAGTGGAGTTTGGGGCGATTAGCGAGGCAGTTCAATGGTCAGAATGGTCATGAGCATCGATCCACGTAATAAGGATAAGGATAATAAGGATACGATGATATATATATATCCGCCTCCTACGACAAGCATGCCCGGTTTGGGTTGATGAAGGCCAATTCTATCCAGGATCTTCACGGGTTCGAGTCTTGTTTCAACTTATTTTTCAGTAAAGTTCCTTCATGCTGCATCATGATTCTTGAAGCTATTTGAGGCGAAACTACTGCCAGATATGTCCTGCTTCTGATGAAGCTATATTTTCCTAATCTACGTTTCGTATGTTTACATTGAATTACATACACAATTCTGTGTACACATTTTGTGCCTGCTTTTGTTACCTAAATTTTGATATTCACCATTTTTTTATAGATATACATCCAATAATTTCTATATTGAATGTGACGGAAATGATCAAAATATATTTCGTCACGAAACTGTTAAATAGCATTGGTTTGATTACGGTTGAGGTAGTGTGCATGGTTACGTTCCTTTAGAAGTTAGTGGAAAAGGGAAATGCGTTATAACGAGTTGGCCCTCGCTTTACAGCAATCCGCTAAGGAGGGGAAAAATATCAACGTGAAGGAAGTGATGGACACGTGGACACTGCAGATGAACTACCCGGTTGTCATGGTGATTCGTGAAGGCACGCGCATAAGGGTATCCCAGCAACGCTTCCTCACTGACCCTAACGCCAAGGACCCAGGCAAATACACGTCCAGCTTCGGGTAGGTCCACATAGCACTTCGGGTGCATGTACAGGTCGTTAATACATGGCTTCGACACGATTCTTCCTAACCTTGAACAATAAGTGATGCTGTTTGTTTCACTGGCATCACGAGCTCCATCAGTAGCCAAACTATATAATATTGCTGGATTTGTGTGTATCCCCTTATTCACAAACCATTTATCTTTACGAACACAAAACATTTTGTTTGTTAATGTATGCTTTTCAAAAGTTTTGAACAGGCAAACTGGACCCCTCCGTGTTTTTATACAGACATACAGACAAACAAGGTGGAAAAATAATTAAATGTACATTTAACTCATACAGAACAATATTTTCAAAGGAAAAGTTCCGCTGCATTAACAATAGATGTCGGACAGTAACATCTTCCCGACACAAGGGAGTTAACCGACTTTAAAAGTCCAGTTTCCACCCTTGCCGAACAAGGCTGGAACTCCTGGGCTCCATCATAGTGGCACCAGTGGCTATTATCCCTTCTAAGCCTCTCCTATGGACCAATCAGATTCCACCACTCGTATCACTTGCATTTGCTTCAAACAAAATGGCGGCGCCCAGTTATGACGATGTTATCCATAATCAAGATCTATATTGTGATAAAAAGAGTCTGACATCGCGAAATGCTTCAAATCACGTGAGCACCTTGATTAAAAACATGAAAAGATTCGAAAAATATCTTTTGACATCGAGTTGGCGATGCAAATGCTTTGCAAATCCTGTAATCGACCGAAATCTGCATGACAGTTTACGATCCGGATTTCGATTTCTTTGCGCGATTTTGATTGGACTATGCAAAGACTCGTTAGTCCAACCAAAATATAACTCTATTCCAGCCTAGTTCGGCAAGGGTGAAAACCGGACTTTTATAGTCATTAACTCCCTTGCCTCGGGAATATTGGGCTTCACCTTCGTGGTGAACATCTACGACCTGCGTCGCTTCCTCCCTCATTCAGCAGGATGTGGAACTGAAATACGTAACAAAGCGGCGTCAAACAAACTCACTCACTCACTCACTCACTGACTCGAGTTCCGACTGCGTATGTTTTCCAGGTACAAGTGGGAGATCCCGTTCGCCTACACCAGCAGCGTCGAGAACGACTTCAACAAGACGGACGCCGACATCAGCTGGATCAAGCCAGACAGCAACGAGCGTAAGTTTTATTCCACCATTTGAACTACTTTCAACAGTTCCACACCCCGAGAGTCCTGACAATGTGTTAGAGACAGTATTGTTGTCCGTCTCTGTTTCCTGACCCGATGGTGAATTTAATTTTTCAGCGTTTGATGGAACAATATTCTTTTGAATCATAGCGCCACAAACAATGTCAAATGGCCCCAAGTTTATAAAACCTCATTTGTAAGATTTGTTTGTTTGTTTGTTTGTTGCTTAACGCCTCACTAAGCAATATTCCAGCTATATGACGGCGGTCTGAAAATAATCGAGTCTGGACCTAACCGGACAATTGACATCATGAGCATCGTTCCACGCATTTGGAATACGATGACATGCATCAACCAAGTCAGCGAGCCTGACCACCCGATCCCGTTAGTCGCCTCTCAAAAGCATGGGCTGCTGAAGACCAATTGTAACCCGGATTTCCAGAAAGGCAAATGCTAGTACACTGAATTGACATAACGACATCACCTCTCCTTTCCTCACTCACTCATTCACTCAAATGTCGCTTGCAGTGATATTTGACAACCCCTCCGTGATCCCCCCCAGGTCGGACAACGTGAGCTGGGTGCTTGGCAACCCCATGCAGTACGGCTTCTACAGGGTCAACTACGACACCGCCAACTGGATGGCCCTCGTCAACCAGCTGAAGACGGATCACAGGGTGAGAACCAGTTTGACTTTCTTTATTGTTTGGTTTACACCCCAGCCAGGAATATTCCACATATACCTCGGCGTCCTGTAAACAATCTGGGTCACACAAACCAGTGATTGATAGTATGACCAACGCCACACGCCGTCGTGGTTCGATGACACGCATCACTGTCAGCCATCTTGCTCAGATTTGTAAGACCATCAACAGAGGTTAGGTTGTCTGCGAGAGAGGATGTCTACGAGAAATGTGTTCAGGACAAAGAAATGCCATGATTTTGATATCATCGTCTTCAGAAACCAGAGTTGGAAAGCTTAAAAAAGATCGATTTGAGTTTTCCAATCTGGAATAATTAAGTAGAGAGGCTGTTTTAGTTGAGGTTTTCCTGTGGTGAACTCCAGTACCGTAGTGCTATTTTCAAGAATAAGATAAATACCTGTAAGATTTGATTTGATCTCTATACAATTATGAATAGTTCATCCAACTTTCTTGGTTTTCTTGATGCAGGAGATTAAAACATGTTTGGCGAGTGGTTTTCGAAGAACTGGAAAGCTCGAAAACTCAACATCTTTCTCATATTTTAGTTTTTGTTTATAAGAATGAAAAGGTCAAAAGTCCAATTCCGCTCTCGTAAATTAAACTTTCCAACTCTGATTTTAGACAATAAAAAAAAAGCTCCAAAATCACAGTATTAGCTACAATGTTGATGTTTTCTTTGATAGGCATTACCTAGAAGTTGACGGATGACAAAGTAGACACAATTTATGGAAAACAATTTCTTCAATTACTGTTAAGGCGACGTTTCGGTCCATCATGTCGTTACAGTATTATCCTTCTGTTGTCATTACTACTCATGTTATCCCACTCATGTATGCAATTGTTGTTACTGTTAATCCTCCATCTACTATATGTATTCTGTACCATGCTCTTTATTCAGGGGCGGTCGGGTAGCCTAGTGGTCAAAGCGTTCGCTCGTCACGCCGAAGACCCGGGTTCGATTCCCAACATGGGTACAATGAGTGAAGCCCATTTCTGGTGTCCTCCGCCGTGATATTGCTGGAATATTGCTGCAAGCGGCGTAAAACCAAACTCACTCAATCTTTATTCAGTCTTGCTTGACAACGGTATTTAAGGATATTTACCGAAACGTCACCTTTTCAGTAATTAAAGAAGTTGTTATCCATAAATTGTGTCTACTTTGTAATATTGATGTTGTAATACAGACCTACAAGTAATCAAAGCTAACTGACCTCTTTGGGGGATACTATTTTTTAAATGGCTATTGTTCTTCTGTATTTCAAGAACATTGTAAGACCAGATTGTTGTATATATGTTTCATGTAAGCCACATCAGAGACAGCGCTCGTTTGATTTTTTCTTCATTCAAAAGATACAGGAAGCCGCTGGCATTGCCAGGTATTGATGGGCGAGTTTAATTAACGACATTAAAATAAATGTTTACGTTTAGTCGATATTCTTTTCTCTTCCAGCAAATACACACGATCAACAGAGCACAAATTATAAACGATGCCTGGAGTTTGGCTAAGTGAGTATATTACAAGTATTCAATATCTGCTACCAGTGATAGAAGGGTCAGCAGGAGCCGAATCCTGTCGCAAGACCCGACTAATGAGGGCAGAGTATATTACATGTATTCAATATCTGCTACAGTGATAGAAGGGTCAGCAGGAATCCTGTCGCAAGACCCGACTAATGAGGATCAAGTGGTCACAATGTGCGACCTTGCTGATTGCGTCATGTCCCTACGACTCGTTGCTCATGCTATCAACCACTGGTTTGTCCGACCCAGATATATATTTTACGAGTCTTGTATGCAGACCGCTAACGCAGTCGGTTTCAAGTGAAATTTCAGGGCATGAAATTTTCAATGCCTTCAAATCTGAAAACACATATACTGAATATCGCATTCGAAGTACATCCCCACTCGCCCACTCCTACTGACTTTTTAAGATGGAAAGTTAAAACCGATAGCGGTTTCATGGGGACCGCCATCTTGTTTTCCAAAACTCGTATCGGTTTTTTAATCCTTATTTCAAGTTCACTGATGAGGAACACATGTAAACGTATGAGAAGGTAAGAGAGAAGGGAGGAGATTGGTATATGCACTTTCTAATGATTTGTAGTTTAGCGAAGATGTAGAAGAGCGCAGAGTGGCCCACTTCTGTGGCGGTTCAATCCGAACACACACACGCACTATGAAAAAGCTCCGGGTAAAAACTCCTCAGCAGCCTGTCATATAGCTGGAATATTGCTGACTACAGAGTTATACAACAAAGACGCTGCCAACCCCCTTTTGATACGCGGGGTTCGGGGGTCTTTTTAGAGGATATTCGTGGGGTACACGGGACGCAATTAAAATCATATTTGGTACTAAGATTCAGCAACCCGTTAAAAAAACAAGAAACAAATGATATTAAACGATGAAGGTGGGAGAGGATAGGGTCCCTGTGACTAAACCAGTGTGTCTGCCTCAGAGCAGGGATGCTGCCCCAGGACATGGCTCTGCAGACAGTGGAGTACCTCGACAGGGAGTTAGAGTATGTCCCTTGGGCCGCGGCCATTCGACAGCTAGGATACGTCGACACCATGCTGACCAAGACAGGACTGTATGGGGCATTCGGGGTAAGTCGGTATCATCTTCCCAAGGCAAGGGAGTTACGTGACTATATAAGTCAAGTTTCCACCTTTGTCGAACTAGGCTGGAGTTTCTGGGCTCGACCGTAGCGCCACCAGTGACTATTACGAGTTATTCCCCTTCTAGGTCCCTCCTATTGACCAATCCGATTCCACCTCTCGCATCACTTGCATTAATTTGCTTCAGATAAATTGGTTGCCCAGTGAAGACGATCTGATCTATATTGTAATAAGAAAGGATTTAACTTGCAAAGTGCATCGTATCACGTGAGCACCTTGAAAAGATTTGGAAATGATGCTGAGTTGACGGTACACACGTTTTGCAAATCCTACAATTTACCGACATTTTGTTACGCGGTTTTGATTGGACGATGCATAGACTCGTTAGTCCAGCCAAAATATTACTCTATAATTCCAGCCTGGTTCGGCAAGGGTGGAAGCTGGACTTTTACAGTCAGTTAACTCCTTTCCCTCAGGAAGAGTGAGTGAGTGAGTGAGTGTTTGGTCTGACGCAGCTTTAAAAGATATTTACGTAATATCAAGGCGTGTCAGTTTGATGTGGGAGAAGGGCCGAATTGGTCAGATTTTAGACCTCATCTATTCACGCAGCCTGACAAAGGTGAATTTTTGAATTTGTGCGAAAGTGTGCAACGCGCTCGTAAAATATATTCCATTGTGTTGACTCAACACATAACGGCGACAACCGATTCTGGTAATTTGCAGTTCTGTGGCAGACAATCCTGAAAGAAGTTGTCTCATCATTGTTTGTTTAACCAATTAAATGCCATGGAATCACATACAATATATCTATTTAATTATATACAATACTTGTGTGTTGTCAGGCTTTCATGAAGGCGAAGGTTCAGATGCCATTTAATACACTGACCATGAACAACACTGGGGCATCGCATCTGACATCGTAAGTTGAACATTGAACTGAGCCTTCAAATTTCATATGCACCTGCGATAGCGCGGGCGCTGGCTTAGGGCTCAATCACACATTCAGGATATTTACTGCCGTCCTTGATAAGACTATTCCCGATTAAAATTTGTCAGAAGTCTGATCAAGATCTTGTGATTCGTGGCGGGAAATTCACAAACAATCAGATATTGTTCAGAAAGTGTGACGATTCTGCCGTTTCCAGACGAATTCATCCCGAGTCTCCCGTTCTTAATCCGAATCTGATCCGATTTGTATCTTCCGAATGGTAAAAAAAGACCGAATATGTCCCGACATATGATTCTCCCGAATGCGATCCGACAGAGATCAGACAATGACCGGACAGTGAACCGACAAAGACGGTTCGCATTCGGCAAGATCTGGAGGCAGTCTGGACTTAATCGACAAGAAACGGCAATGAACAATTCATGACCGTTCATCACGACAGCATCCCGATCCACAGGACACCGTCCAGACAACACAGGACATTGTGGCGATTTTAATCCGATACAGTAGAATCTGTCACGACATAGTCACGATTGTAATCGGACTAGACAAAATCGGTTTCCCGAATGTTACAGGACGCACCATACTGTCGAGAGTACTTGGCCGACCTCTCTGGACCTTTCCCGATCCGTAGGACTCTGTTAAGGACATAAACGACTGCTGTCAGACAATGATAGGACATTCCAGATCATTGAGGATAGTAATCCGACTTTTTCACTTTTCGTAGCGCTGTCTGATCTCAAACGGGAACCATAATCGGCACTGTGTGAACCTGGCCTTATTGAACAGTTCCCTGGTGCACCAAAGACAGAGTGGGGCTTACTGAACACGGCCCAGTTCCCCTGGTAAACCTAAGACAGAGTGGGGCTTACTGAACACGGCCCAGTTCCCTGGTGCACCAAAGACAGAGTGGGGCTTACTAAACACGGCCCAGTTCCCCTGGTAAACCTAAGACAGAGTGGGGCTTACTGAACACGGCCCAGTTCCCCTGGTAAACCTAATACAGAGTCGGGCTTACTGAACACGGCCCAGTTCCCCTGGTAAACCTAAGACAGAGTCGGGCTTACTGAACACGGCCCAGTTCCCCTGGTAAACCTAAGACAGAGTGGGGCTTAAGTCTATCGTAAGTCTATGTTAAGGTGTGGGAGTTACGATCACCTTAAGATCGGTTTGTACAACGGCACCCTGGAGCACATGCACATGTGGGACTTAGTGAACACGGCCAGATCCCCGATGCACCTGCGCTTCGGACAGCGTGGGGCTTACTGAACACGGCCCTGGAACAAAGAACGTGATCTCGACAACCAGTTGTCTGACTTTCATTATTGTGGAAGCCTCGGTGGCTGAATGGGTTAGATCGTTGACTTTGTGTACTGGCGATTTGGTGTCTCACTCTGGCAGTGTGGGCTCGAATTCCGAATGGGACTCCACCCACAAAAATATTCGAATTTGTACTTTACTAAGGAAGTGTTATCCCAAAGTTAACATTTGTTAGACTGACGAAAGTCGTATCGATGAAATCACTTTACGGTATAAGGTCCTGGCGTTTATTGGAGACTTGTTGTGTGTTGGTTACGTGCATCGGTTAACTCTGTTTTCGTTGCGACTCTATTTTGTCCTATATGTTAATATACGATTCCGGGAGTGTTGTATGGTTTACATCTGTGTGAAACCCGTGAAGATACGGAGTAGAATAGGTCTTCAGCAATCCATGCTTGCCGTAAAAGGCGACTATGCTTGTCTAAGAGGCGACTAACGGGATCGGGTGGTCAGGCTCGCTGACTTGGTTGATGCATGTCACCTTATCCCAATTGCGTGAATCGATGCTCATGATGTCAATCACTGGATTGTCTGGTTAGGTCCAGACTCGATTATTTTCAGACCGCCGTCATATAGCTGGAATATTGCTAGGTGCGGCGTTAAACAACACACAAGCAAACAAACAAACAAACAAACAAAAAAAGGAACATGTTTGTGTGATTCCATGATGACATTTCTATGTAATGTTTGGCAGCGAAATTGGCTGATTTAAAGAATCAATTATTATTTTCATGAAAATTAACTGCAAACTGTTCTCAGTTTTTATTGATGACGTACATGTGCTTCTGCTGCAGATATATCCGGTCCTTGATATCGGGGTCGGCGTGTTCATACGGCATAACAGCCTGCACAGATGAATCTTTGAGGCTCTTCCGAGAATGGATGGCCACCCCATCAAACAACCCGTAAGTTCAGATACATTTATATTTTTACTAATGTGCAGCTACTTACAATCAAGCGTATACGAGTATACACGAGATCAGCATGTGGTCCTGTGCATAGCTCACAGTGCACATCAGGGGTAGTAAAGCAGCGCGGGCGGCGGATAGAAGTTGCATGGGTGACCGTGGGTTTTGGCCCAGCCCGGATTGAAAAACAAATTGACTTTGGTCTGAATATGGTCCTGTTCACACAACGTCGAATGGGTACCTGGTAGGATGAGATAACAGTGTGAATGCAAACTCTCAAGTGTCTTGGGTTATATTCTCCCCAGGGAGCTGAGAATGTATTTTGAGTGTACGTGATTATGTGGGCACACGAGCATGCTACACTAAAGCATGATATTTTTAGAAGTATTGTTGAACAGCTTTTGTGATATAAGAAAGTGATTTCAAACGCTCTTATATACTCAGTTGCATATTTTAGACACAACGATTTAGCTTCCTAAATTAACAACATCAATGTATTTGAGTACAATGAATGATTAATTCTGGTGCTCATGATATCAATCATTGTCTGGTCTAGACTCGATTTATTTACAGACCGCCGTCATGTAGCTGGAATATTGCTGAGTTCGGCGTTAATCAACAAACAAACAAACATAATTCTGGTTGAAAATTTCACAGTGCCTGACAGTGCCAATGACATTGAAGCCATTAGAATGGAAAAAAAGTGTTAGTGGTTACGTGATTGGTAGATACCTTGACAACAGACACAGTGACGACGAATCATCGAGTGTGGCCTCCATGGCCCAGTGTCAACGTTCCCCCTATTCTCTAATTATTGGGACGGTGGGGTAGCCTAGTGGTTAAAGTGTTCGCTTGCCACGCCGGATACAATGTGTGAAGCCCATTTCTGGTGTCCCCTGTCGTGATATTGCTGAAATATTGTTTAAAGCGGCGTAAAACCATACTCACTCGGTCTCTCACTCTCTCCCAACTCTTTAGTCGGTAGTGTGGCATTCAGCATGTTGAGTGAGTGAGTTGGGTTCAACGCTACTTTGAACGGTGCTTCTCGTATGTTTTACGTGTTACTTTGTTGAGCACGGGGGCATTGGTGGCCCAGTCGTCTAAGGTGCCGCGATTCGCTGTGCGGCGTTGCGTCCCTTGGGCACGCCAGAAACCTATGATTGTGGGTTCGAATCCCGGTTCGCCCCAATTATGTTTCTAGGTTTGTCAGCACCATACCCGTGCTCATGGGTTTCACCGAAGTGTTAAACGTCTGAGACCTGCATCACTTCGGGCTTTCCTCCCACATTAAGCTGACACGCCGCGATATAGCTGGAATACTGTTAAAAGCGGCGTTAAACCCAACTTACTCACTCACTCATTGTTGAGCACAATTCCCAAGTGTCTCAGGCACGGCACAATTAACTCTGTGACTCTCCTCTCCAGCATCGATCCTGGTCTGAAGAGCACTGTCTACTGCACCGCCATCAAGTACGGTGGAGTGTTGGAGTGGGACTTCGCCTTCACACAATACAAGACGGCGACTGTGGCGGCAGAATCTGCACGGCTGTTGTCGTCCATGGGATGCTCCAGAGAACCGTGGATCCTCAGCCGGTAGGACTTCCTTAATTAACAACTGTGTTGGCAAAGGGATTGTCACATCCACTGGCCATATTGCACCATCCTCTTTAACGTTGGCTACACTGCCCTGTCCACAATAACACCGAACATATTGCCCCGTCCACAATAACACCGCCCATATTGCCCCGTCCACAATAACACCGACCATATTGCCCCGTCCACAATAACACCGACCATATTGCCCCTTCCACAATAACACCGACCATATTGCCCCTTCCACAATAACACCGACCATATTGCCCCTTCCACAATAACACCGAACATATTGCCCCTTCCACAATAACACCGAACATATTGCTCCGTCCCCAATAACACCGACCATATTGCCCCGTCCTCAATAACACCGCCCATATTGCCCCGTCCACAATAACACCGCCCATATTGCCCCGTCCACAATAACACTGACCATATTGCCCTGTCCGCAATAACACCGACCATATTGCCCCGTCCACAATAACACTGACCATATTGCCCCGTCCACAATGACACCGACCATATTGCCCCTTCCACAATAACACCGACCATATTGCCCCTTCCACAATAACACCGACCATATTGCCCCGTCCACAATAACACCGACCATATTGCCCCTTCCACAGTAACACCGCCCATATTGCCCTGTCCGGAATAACACTGACACAATAACACTGACCATATTGCCCCTTCCATAATAACACTGACCATATTGCCCCTTCCATAATAACACTGACCATATTGCCCCTTCCACAATAACACTGACCATATTGCCCCTTCCACAATAACACCGACCATATTGCCCCTTCCACAATAACACCGACCATATTGCCCTGTCCACAATAACACTGACACAATAACACTGACCATATTGCCCCTTCCACAATAACACCGCCCATATTGCCCCGTCCGCAATAACACCGCCCATATTGCCCCTTCCACAATAACGCCGACCCTATTGCCCCGTCCACAATAACACTGACCATATTGCCCCTTACACAATAACACCGCCCATATTGCCCTGTCCGCAATAACATCGACCATATTGCCCCTTCCACAATAACACCGCCCATATTGCCCCTTCCACAATAACACCGAACATATTGCCCCTTCCACAATAACACCGAACATATTGCTCCGTCCCCAATAACACCGAACATATTGCCCCGTCCCCAATAACACCGACCATATTGCCCCTTCCACAATAACACCGACACAATGACACCGACACAATGACACCGACCATATTGCCCCGTCTACAATAACACCGCCCATATTGCCCCGTCCACAATAACACCGCCCATATTGCCCCGTCCACAATAACACTGACCATATTGCCCTGTCCGCAATAACACCGACCATATTGCCCCGTCCACAATAACACTGACCATATTGCCCCGTCCACAATGACACCGACCATATTGCCCCTTCCACAATAACAGCGACCATATTGCCCCTTCCACAATAACACCGACCATATTGCCCTGTCCACAATAACACTGACCATATTGCCCCATCCACAATAACACCGCCCATATTGCCCCGTCCACAATAACACCGACCATATTGCCCCGTCCACAATAACAACGACCATATTGCCCCGTCCACAATAACACCGCCCATATTGCCCCGTCCACAATAACACCGCCCACATTGCCCTGTCCGCAATAACATTGACCATATTGCCCCGTCCACAATAACACCGCCCATATTGCCCCTTCCACAATAACACTGCCCATATTACCCTGTCCGCAATAACATCGACCATATTGCCCCTTCCACAATAACACCGCCCACATTGCCCTTTCCGCAATAACATCGACCATATTGCCCCGTCCACAATAACACCGACCATATTGCCCCTTCCACAATAACACTGACCATATTGCCCCTTCCACAATAACACCGCCCATGTTGCCTCGTCCGCAATAACACCGACCATATTGCCGTATCCACAATAACACCGACCATATTGCCCCTTCCACAATACCACCGACCATATTGCTCCTTTCGCTGTAGCAACTTCAAACAAACAAAATACATTCACTGCCACTGCAACACCGACATCACTGTCCCACCCACCGCACTGTCACACCTACTACACTGCCCCACCCACCATATTGCCACACCCACCACACTGTCCCACCAACTATATTGCCACATCCACAACACTGTCCCACCCACCATATTGCCACAACCACCACACTGTCCCACCCACCGTACTGTCACACCCACTACACTGTCCCACCAACCATATTGCCACACCCACAACACTGTCCCAGCCATCATACTGCACCACCTACTACACTGCCCCACCCATCATACTGCCACATCCACTACACAGTCCCATCCACCATATTGCCACACCCACCACATTGACCCACCCACCATACTGCCACACCCATTACACTGCCCAACCCATCATACTACCATTATACTGTCCCACCCACCATACTGCCACACCCTCTCCAACATCCCCTTTGCCATCAAACCACTCTGTGTGATCAGTCCCTGTATTACTGACATTTATTCATAAATATTTTCTCATCCATGTACACCTCCTTGAAGATATGTTTAATCTTATTTCAGATTCCTAAACCGAGCTTTAATGACAGAACAAGTCCGCAAACAGGACGCCCTGAACGTACTTGTGTATGTGTCTAGAAACTCCATAGGTCAAGGCCTGGCCTGGGACTTCTTCAGGAACAGATGGGAAACCATTAGGAACGAGTGAGTACACCTTCCCGAGACAACTGGCTGTAAATGTCCAGTTTCCGCTCTTGCCGAACTAGGCTGGAATTATGGAGTTATATTTTGGCTGGACTAACGAGTCGATGCATAGTCCAATAAATATCGACATCAACATCCGATTCGTAAACTGCTGTGCAGATTTCGGTCGACTGCAGGATTTGCAAAGGATGTGTACCGCCAACTCGTCGTTAATATATACTTTCCAAATCTTTTCCTGTTTTTAATCAAGGTTCGCATGTAATTTGATGCACTTCGCGAAGTAGGATCCGTTTTATCACACTACAGATGTAGATTATCGATCACATCGTCTTCACTGGGCGCCGCCATTTTGTTTGAAGTAAATGCAAGTGACATGAGAGGTGGAATTTGATTGGTCAATATGATGGCCATAGAAAGGACATGACAAGTAATAACCACTGGTTGATGCATGTCATAATATCATGATATCAATCACAGGATTGTCAGCCACTCCCTCACACAGTCAGCTTCTTACCATATTTCTTTTTTTACAGTTATGGTACAGCATTCTTCGCCTTCACACGTCTAATTGGAGGAATCACGGAATCCTTTAACACGCCGTTCCAATTGAAACAGGTCAGGGAAATTAACTTGGATTTCTCATGTTTTAAAAATAATCAGCTTTTATAGTTCGGAGTGTGTGAGTCCTGGAATCAACCCCATGTATTAAAGTTCCTTTCGTGTGCAATGCCACCAGAGAGTAGCCATACCATTATTTGTCGGCGGCTATAGGGAGCTCGTGTTCCTGTTCATCTTATATTCAAGGGAGGCTACTCTAAATCAACAGCTACCGTCATCGAGCAGACGGCGCTTTTGTCCGGTAATGGCTCAAGTATTGACAGGCCACCGTTCTACAGCTGACGCATTGCTGATTGCGGCAACAAACAGTATTCCGTCTATCACCGCAGTCAAATTCCTGAAAACTAAAATTCTTGTAACTTTGTTTCAGCTTCAGACTTTCGTGGACACGCACCCCGATCAGGGGTCAGGGAAGCGGGCATTCGAGCAGGCTATGGAGAAGACGAACGCCAACATTAAGTGGATGGACGCGAACGTCCAGAGCGTTCAGACGTGGTTAAAAAACCAGGGTTTCTATACTGAGTAGCGAGTAATACATATATAAAATGGATTTCGAGAATGGGGTCTGCTTTGTCTGATCCGGTGTATAACATAATGTCGGCTGGGAACAAATCCTTAATGTGAAATTACACTAAAATGATGATTAAATCAATCAAATGTACATTTATCGTAATTAATCGCAGAAATAGTCTGCGATATATATTTACCTGCGACTTGCATTGGACTTCCAACTGTCGCAACATGTTATTTCTTCAAATCATTGTTTGATAGGCATTTCTCGGAAGTTGACGGATGACAAAGTGGATAAAGGTTTATGGATAACAACTTCTTGATTTTACTGTAATATGGCGACGTTTCGGTATAGATCCTTATTCCTTGTCAATCTTGCTTGACAACTGTATTTGTATCTGTACTGAAACGTTGCTATTACAGGTTAATAAAGAAGTTGTTTTACATAAACCTTTGTCAGCTTTGTTCTTCAAATCAGTTTCTTAAAAATAGTTTGAATATTGACGAAGCTGGTGAAAATACAACATTATTGTCGATGCTAAAAGAGGATACGCATTCGTACTTTCAATACGCATTTTCAAAGACAATTTTGAGATGTATTTTCAAATAATTTGGAAAATTTGGAGTGTCTTCACAGCTCTACGCAAAGACATGTATCGGAGTTAAAGTTCTGAATGTAATGTTAATACCCACAGGGTTAGAAATAACCAAGTTTAAGAAGTCGTATTAGCACTGGCGCACATATCACTTAAAACCAGTGTATTATTTACGTCATCCGGACGGTATTCGAATCTTATTGTAACGTAAGGTCAAACTAGAACCGACGTCATGGCTGAAGATTGTTATCGTCATTCAACAATTGTGTTTTTCTAAGAAGGCAGTCGTGTTCAGTGCATTTTTCTAAAGGGAAGCTAAAAATGATTCAGAAATAATGGGTTATAAAGACATTATTACACTCGCATGTGCGTCACACTGATTTTACGAAACTCGTATAAGAATTAAGAAAACGTACAGCGGTACGTGTAAAAAATCATCTTTTTCCCTCGCTCTCGTATAACAATCTCTATAGATTGAATATACATTATTGTACGTCGTGTATATTCAAGAAAAGAGGTAGTTTATGTCCAAAATGTGCATACCTCATTGTAAAGAGACCACATGATCCCCCCTCGAATGACACCTTACTTGTGACGAAAGTGGTTTTAAAAGATAGGAACAGGGTTTTACGCATTCTTTAACATCCAGTGTGTTATCTTCCCAAACGGATGTGATAAGCATATAAATATTAAAAATGAGATTAATGAAATGCACTGGATCTTCGACAGTGGGGTTTAATATACGGGTAATGACATATTAACGGTAATTGAATTATGTTTTCAAACGTCTCCTATTTAAAGATTGTATAGAGTATAAGATTTTTATTTCGTTATGTTTTGTGTAGAACTATACTTTCTATGTGAACGGTTTTGCTCAGGATGTGTCGAAAATTACAAGATGTGTGGTAACAGGTGTGAGCCATACAAAAACATCCGTTATTGTTTGAGATCCGGGTACACGCGTACTGCTGATGCTGGGGGCTGTGAATACCTGCACGGGCATCTGTAGCAAAATGAAAATAAGTAATTGAAAACCATCGTCATTACTTCACGAACGAGAGAGTACTTCCTGGTTCTCGTCCGTGATGACGTACGACCGCCATGCAGTGTAATGATGTAAAAGATATTGAACACATGGATTCGATCTTAAGACACGCCTGGGTCATCATGAGATGAGAACTGTTATACCTATATGTCTTGTCGAAGTGGAGAGGAGTACCGGCAGTGCACGTACCATTAATACAAAAGAACGGTATTATCCGGCTCATAAACTTGACAAAACCTACTTAAAACTATCATCGTCTTGTCACCACACGTCCCGTCATCTTTACAACGAAACCTTATATCAATGTTCTGAATGAGTGAGTGGGTGATTTTTGTTATACATCGCTTTTAGCAATATTTCAGCAATTTCACGGCAGGGGGCACCAGAAATGGGCTTCACACATTGTACCCATGGCTTTCGGTAGACAAGAGATCGTTTTGACCTCCAGGCTGACCCACGTCCTTCAAAAAATTATCACAGTTTTAAATGTTTGTTTGTGTTAGTGAAAGGTTATTTACGTGTCACATATTAAAAGTATCCTCCGTTGTCCGTTGTATTAGATCTCCACACACCCAGGATCAGTTCGCCATCACAACATCGGAAGGGACCAGTACCCTTCTACAACTAAGGGGGAGAAGGGGGAGAAGGGGGAGGGGGGGGGGGGGGGGGGGGGGGGCATTTTGACTGGGTGGCTGTTGCATTGCGTCATGTGAATCGTTAAAGGTTGGGTCAAAATGGGTCCAGGGCCTCGTTCCTCAAAGCTATATTGGCGCTAAGGTAATCGTAAGTCCCATACTTTAATATAGGCTTTTTACTTTTACATTACTTTTTATGTAATGAAATGTTCATATGTTAATGTTATTTTTTTAATTAATTTATATCGCTGACACACGAACGATTTAATATTTGAAACAAGGTGAACTGGTCATTAAGGCTTTCGTGCTTTAAAATTCTTAGATCAGATCCCGACCTCGGGATTCTTCATCGTATACTACCCATGACACGGCTATAGGCGAAATTTTAAGATTTTCTCACTGAGCGTCACAACTATTGTTCAATTGTTTTCAATGTGCGAAGAGGCCCACAGCAACGTGACGTCATATGAACGCAAATAATTGAGATGACGTCATCCATTGTTCATGATGCCACGAACGATTACATGTGAGGTCGTTCCAACAACAGAGTAATGGAGCCGACGTCTCCATTTGAGATCAAGAAAACCACATTTTTCTTTATGTCCCAAGAAAATTGACTGGGTAACATAAAGAACCTATAGCAAATCTAGGAACTTGCAAAATTAATTCACTCGCGACAGATAATCCTGAATTCCCAGTTGCCGTAGATTACTATCTAAATCATCCATATATCAAGCTGTTGAATGCTTCTTGTTATATTTGAAGTATTCCATGTATACCCAAGCAGTGTACTAAACATTGCGGCTAAAACCAAGTGCCTTGTAGGTCCAGTAGGACTTGAAGATAGTAAGCTATATTTTCAGTCTTCTGTGTATGTGTAGTATTTCTCGGCCTCCAATATTCAAGGGTGATCACAAACTGCTTCTGTCCCTCATGTAGCATCTGTAGAAAATGTCATGTATACCCTGTTGATATACTTGGAAACTTGTGAATCAAAGGAAATAGATTTTGTAACTTTTAGAATATCTATGCACATATGTATTCATATTTTGAAATAAAAGGATAAAATCAGAATAAACTGTTTCATGTGGTGAATAGTGTGATTCGGAGCCTGGTTCCACGGAGCGATCTCAACACAAAGGAAACTCCCATACCTTAACATAGGCTTATGGCTCATTGCGCTAAGATGTGTGTACCAGGCCCTGGGTGCGGTTGTACAAAACATCCTTCCCACTATGACTGTTGTAAGTCTATGTTAAGGTATGGGAGTTGCGGTCATCGCTAAGTGCAACGGCAAGAGGTCTACGTAGGCTGTTTCAGTGGCACACAGCAATGAGGTGTGTTTCAGTCAGAAAATAGTATTTCAGGGTTTCAGCTCAGGGAGAGGAAAGCCCAGTCTCAGTGTTAAGCAACAGCAGTCATGGCTGATGTGGCTGACTGATTTACCTACCTGAGCCAGAAATAAGAGAGACAATGATACAGCCTCATTTATTTCGTATTTCACAACTTTGAAGGTACAATCTTAAAGAGCGTCATACGATGGTTGCACCCAAAAGACACAACATCAATGATACAAAAAGATGATTTTAATGACAACATGAAAATGGTAAAATAGGAAACATACATGCTTGCAATGTACAACATCCACATTTCGATCGAGGATATCCAGTGTGTGTGTGTGTTTTTTAAAATCAGTAAAAAATATATGCAAATTCACAATCTAAACATTCCATGTGAAAGTTTTGCCATACAATGTAGGAGTTCTATACAGATGTAATTGTGAAATGGCTGGTTATTCGATAACACATAAACGACATATTTTTTAAAGGTAATGCACATAAAAATGGTATCCAGTAGCCTGGTATATCTTGACCAGTGGTTTGTCTGTACACTGAAAATTGACCAGACTGTGAAGCCATTAGTCCTTATCCTAATTATCATCAATTTTCAATAATACATTGACATGACAGTCTTGTGTTTTGCGTGTACTTTACTCACTGCTGGTGGTGGGTTGATTGTCTGCCGTACACTGACACAGAACTGCAATGGCCATCAGATTAAGAAAAGAGTCGCATTTATGAGAGAGTGAGCATGGTTTTAAACCACGAGACACCAGAAATGGGCTTCACACATTGTACCCATGTGGGGAATCGAACCTCGGGTCTTCAGGTGTGATGAGCGAACGTTTAACCACTAAGCTACCCCCACCGCCCCAGGGGGCATTTATGGCATAGGACATGATGTGATGGGAATAATGTATGAGTTTGACCATGATACTAAATGCATACATTTCTATACAAACAGACCTCATTAGGCCACACAAAAAGCCCTTGTCTTGGGCAAAATAGCTTTGACTAGTAAACATCTATTTACCAGCCTTATTATACATATGACCCACACAAGCGTAGGCCTCTCAGTCCATCTGAAATCATTTAATTGTCTGGATAGAACAAACTAAACAGCCCTCTTCACATGAACAGATCATGTTGCGCAAAACAGAGGTATTTTTAATGATGGCAGGATTTCTATTAGTTGGAACAATTTTGTCTTTCTTTTCTCAATGTTGCAAATGGCTTCTAGTCAGTGCTTCTATCTTGTCTGAGCAGCTGGAATCTGGAAAACAAAACAAAAGAGGTTTTCATTCAGGATCAGATGAGAGAGATTGAATGTTGTTTTCAATCTAATTAAAATCAGGCCTTTTACTTCTATACCTCTATATGTGAAGATCTGACAACCCCTTCACAGAAGGTCACAGCAGTTGGACTTGGAACTCAGTAAAGCAGTGTCAAGGCTTCTAAATTCTCGGTACCATCATACCTGTTTTCTGTATCTTGAAAATGAACTTAAATAGTCATTTCAGAATGTAAATAATAAAGGATGTGTCATCATATTGTAGGATATTTTACACACCCTCTCATTTCTCAGCACCATAACACCTACATCAAGATAGAGTACCATTGAATGGATATTTGTTTTTTTGTGGGTTTTCCTTTGTTAAAAAAGAAATTGTGAATGGAGGCAGTAAAGACATGAAGCTGAATCACTTTAGAAAGCTGTCATCTGATTGGCTAAAAACCCATGCCTCCTTCAGTTTCATAAGAATATGGAAAAGTTGTCAAATTTTCAGGCAGGGGGACACATCGTACTAGAGTAAAAGATCTCAAAATACAATCTCATTAAAATCAGATCTTAGTTCTCGCTATGCTAAACAAAGATCTGAGGACATCCCATTAAGGGTCACGTCAGAACGACCTTTCATACAACCAATCAGAGCGTCGCTTACCAGATCATGAAAGTGACAGTCGGAATGTGTTTTCTAATCATGCAACCACGAATTATTTAACACGGGGTATTCCGAACGACAGTTACAGGTTTTATGATTATATCCATACAATCTTGGCCATCTATAAGCCATTCCAGAATGTTCTTCTTGTCAGTTTTAATTTTTTTAATCGAGAAAACGTCAAAATATGTTTGGAAGCATAGTCGCCAGTTTGAAACTAGTGTCGTAAAGCTCGAGAAAGCTGCCTTCTGATTGGCTAATGTCGATTTCTTGTCAGTCATTTCATTGGTCGGTCAAAATTTGCAAAAGGTCGTTCTAACATGATCCGTAATGGGATGTCCTCAGATCTTTGATAAGCGGTAGCGAAAACTAAGATCTGATTTTAATCAGATTGTCAAACTTATGACACTTACACAGTTTTAGGCCAACCAGGAATAATTATGCTGTAAAAGGGCAGCTTGTAATTATGTCAGCCTTGATTATGCAAACCAGTGGTTGATAGCAGGATCACCAATGACACTATCAACACTAGCAACCACATCATACAAAAACGTAACCTTAAAGGGCAAGTTCACACGGAAATGAACCAATTTTTCTTGTACTTTTTCCACATTAAAAGTGTTAACATAGAAGTGTCATAGACAAAAATATAAAAACATCATATTTAATTAACATATTTTTTGCATTAAAACGATTTATATTTTTCACATTTACCAAGTGTTCTATTTCCATAACAAAAACACCATGGCTTATGCCCCTTGCAATATGACGTCATTGGTGCCAATTGATAAACATTATGATGTCATCATGCTTTGTTAGAGCCGCTTCACGTGGTGTAGGTACAGTTTTGTGATTCTAGCGTCTCAGATGCCAGCCAGAATTGTGTTATGCTGAGTCACCACTGCGCCGGAGTGTGTCGTAGACCATGTTGTTTTACCGCAAACTGGTCCTTGATATCTTTTGCGTTGAGAATAGACAGGGACCCAGTTGAATTGGCACCAATTACGTCATAATCTAAGGGGGATAACTCAGGCCTATTTCGCTCGTAAAACGAAGGCCTCATAACGACATATCATTTTAACACTATTGTGAGCTTCCTACTTTCACTGTGAAAAAAATGAGCGTATATTTTCAAACACAGATACTAACTAATTCTAAAATTGCGTTTTGTTTTAGAAAAAGAAAGAAAGTGATTTTTGCGTGTACACTTCCCCTTTAACTCTGAATTTACATATTGGGGCCTTCGTCTTGAAGTGTGAACACATTAAAAACGATGCTACCTTCCCATAAAGATTGTGAGGTTTACAATCACTCCATAACTGACTCTAGTAGAGATCAGGGCTTACTCTCCAAACATTGTACCCATGTGGAGAATCAAACCCGGGCCTTCGTCTTGATCAGCAAATACATTACCCACAATGCTACTCACCACTACTGGCCCTCCTTTGTACATGTTGTATCAGGGTACAGTCAAACTCTTCACACATTGTACTCATGTGGGGAATTTAAAACCTGGGTTTTTGTCTTGGTGAGCGAACACATTACCCACAATGCAACTCACCACTACTGGCCCTCCTGAGTGTCCATGCCTTCATCGTCTCCTCCTTCTTCCTCTTCTTCCTCTCCCTCCTTCCTCTCGATCTTCTCGTAGGCCTTGTCTGATGGGGTGACCACCACGCCCTCCCACACGCTCATCTCTGTGGCAATACCTGACACACAAATGCAATGGAGTGAGCTGTATGCTGTATTCAACAGTATTTCTGTTGTATCAAAGTGCCAGATTATCGTGGGAGGAAGCACTAAGAAATGTGGGTCCTTGATGTTGTTTTGTTTGTTGTTTAACACCGCATTCAGCAATATTCTAGCTATATGACAGCAGTCTGGAAATAATCGAGTCTGGATCAGACAATCCAGTGATTGATATCATAAGCATCGATCCACGCAATTGAGATGACATGCTTTAACGAAGTCAGCAAGCCTGACCACCCGATCCCGTTAGTGGCCACTTATGACAAGCATAGTTGCCTCTAACGACAAGCATGGGCTGCTGAAGACCTATTCTACCCCGGATCTTCACAGGTCCACAGTGTGAGACTTACTTGAGTTGCCCTCCATGCCAAGGATCTGTTTGAAACCACCGTGACTGAGAACTCTGAGCAACGTCTGAGCCGTGAAACACACCTGGTCCTGCAAACAGAAGGCATGATTGATGGAATGATGGACTGGCGGACTGACTGAATGACTGGTGGAATAATTAATAGATTGATGGAATCACTGATGGACTGATTGACTTGTGGATGATTAACTGATTGATGGACTGATGGACTGATTGAACTAAGGACCGACTTACCAATGGACTGATAGATCGGTTGACTGATTGAACGAAGGGCCGATTGGACTGATGGACTGATTAATGATTGATTGATTGACTGATTAAATGATTGACCGAAGGACCTATGGACTGATTGAATGAAGGATGGATTGAATGAAGGAACGATGGTCTGATTGAATGGTGGACTGACTGGTTTAGGTGTTGTAAGGAACATCACACCATGGTAATAAAACCTCTCCCTAAGGAATCATTCTCATGTACATGCTAGCCTGTTGGCAAGTAGAAAGGACGGGGTATGATAAGTGGCCTTTTTGGCCCATTAGATCCGATTTTAGAAATGAGCAAAACATTTAGAAAGTTTACTTTCAAACTGTTTTTTAATTAAGCAGAAGGGTTCACACGAAAGAGTAACAGACTTTGTTTCAGATAAATGATAACACCAAACGTAGGTGTAAGGCTGAACAGTGGGAATGAGGCTTAGAGGTGACAGGAATCATAGTTCAAATATTTGAACATGAGCAAGTTATGGACTCAAAATGTTGAAAAGCAGCCAGAAACAGTTTGGTTGGTCAAGCTAGAAGTCGAGCCTGATGCCCATCCTTCCTTTCTGCCAATATATCCCCATCATAATACAACTTACTTCACAAAATTAATGGTCAGGTGAAATTGTTGATAGATGTATCTGAATTACTAGTCAGTCTTATTTATTTATGATGACGGCAGAAGTTCTATCTGGTCTATTGCATGACATAATGCATGTCTTTACACTACCTGTTGTTCAAGGGTCATGACTGTGTGGACGCGGACTGTCCCCTGCTCACATGGGTCTGTGATGCCGACCGACCCAGGTAGGAAGAAGCCGGCCGCTAGCAGCTGCAGACATCGCCTGAAAGTGAGTGAGTGAGTGAGTGAGTGAGTGAGTGAGACAGTGAGTGCTTTTGAACAGTATTCCATTTATATCACAGCATGTCAGCTTCAAAAGCCCCAGGGGATTCAGGCCTCAGATGTTTACCACTTCAGTGAAATTGATTAGCATGGGTATGGTGCTGAGAAACCTAGAAACATAATCGGGGCAAACTGGGATTGGAACCCAGGAGGACTTCATATCCACTGCCAGGTTAATAGTCCATATAAATATATTGCAAGCAATTCCATGGTTAGTCAAGCAATTTTCCTTAAACCCCAATAATTAGGCCCCGCCCACCAACGGACTATTGTTTCTTGATTGGCTGATAATAGAATAGGCAGGGCTTGTGTTGTATTCTTGCTCTGAATGGTGTCACATTTTTTGTGTGTTAATGATTAAAGCTATTATTGTGGCGTATTTATTTATATAAGGACTGACTTTCTATATTTTGCATCTTTGGAGTTGTAAAAACCGATCTGCACACTTTGCATAAATCTGCAACACGTGTTTACGCAGCGTGCACACCATTGTTTTTTATATGTTAACGCAAAATATTGAAGTCAATTCTCAACAGAACCAAATAATAGGCAAGATGAATTCATTGTTCATCACGTTTATGGGACGGCCATCATTTCTGAAACACAATCATATTTGCGACACAAAGGTCTTCCTGATTTTGATCAGGAATCATTTTAAGAAAAAACATTGCAGAAAACTTGGGCAAAACAATGGCAAAACATTCATCGTTGACAGATTCTAGACTGGGCTCCTGTCTACCTAAACACCAGTAAACAGGCAGCAGCTGATTTGTTGAGGGCTGTGATTGGACAACACTAACATAGCATTCATTAGTTCTCGGTATCATGTGAAAATAAATAGCGAACTACGTGCCGAGCGCCAGTCAAGGTAACATCAAGTACCATCTTTTAACGTCTTTTGGTATGATGAGGCCAGGGTTCAAACCCCGGACCTTCCGCTCTCCACTAGACCACAGAGGCGGTTGGATGTTGGGTAAAGCGCTAAGTTTGCGTCACATTCAAACAGGGGAACAAGTTCAGACAGATTTATGAGTTGTGTGTCAATTCTCTGATGACTATTTCTACTTACTTAAATGCAACGTTGATGGGTAGGGGCTGGCGGGAGGGGTTGTTCATCACGGCATAGTGACCCTGCAACAGTAACATCAGCATCACATACTCCCCTCATCAATTTTCTGTGTTCATTTTACTAATTTTGAAGCAATATTTGTAGTCTTGAATGGAAGTCACTTGTCTGCTCAAGAAAAGCTGATTGACTAATGTCAAGGTCTTGTTAAGCGATTTCATTGGTCGATCAAAGTTTGCAAAAGGTCATTCTGACATGACCTGTAATGGGATGTCCTCACATCTTTGTGTTGCCATAGAGAGCAGTAAGATCTGATTTTAATGACTGTGGGGCAAGCAAAAACGGATCATTAATTCAAAAGGTAGAGAGCATGTAACATATTACGGACATCTCTTTCTGGTAAGAAATATTAGTTCAGGGTGCATTAAAGAACTCATCAATAAGTGACCCTCAACAAATGGATTCTGGCACGTCTGAGGAACAATCGATGTGGCACACAAGATGAGTGTGCCAGGGTGCAGTGAGTCTCACCATCAGGTCAATTATCCACGGTGTGAGGGGCTGCAAGCCTTCAAACCTGTTCTTCAGATCTCGCAGGAGTCGAATCAGCACCTTGATGCTGGAGGGAGACAAACACTATTGTAAAACAAACTGTGGGCTGGAATTTGACTGGATGAAAAACATTGCTAACTGCCAACTCAAGATGCTTTGAATTATTTGGTCAATGCATGAAATAGGTTTACTAACGCCATGCAGAGTCTTTTTCAAACCTTAGTGATGTAAAGGGGAGACAATTTGAAAACATTTGAAGTTATCTCCCTTGAACATATTTTGAAGTCACATCATGTGACTGCTCAACCAAGAAGAGAATGTTTCACCAATCATCTCATCAATCTACCAACAACTGAAACCTTCAAAAGACTCAAGTCAACCGACAACATCCATCATTAGATGTCAGACCAAAATTCTTTGTCAAGCACTAAAGATAAGGAAAAAAAAGGCATGATTAAAATATGTTCCCAGCGCCCAAGGGAACACTTATGAATAATAACTTTAAACAACAAACAGTACCTTGTGACAATGGTTGTTACATGAAGCCAGTGATAAATGTACTTTCGCACAAGTAAACATGATAAACACATGGACAATGATAAACATGTGAACATGCCTAATGCACCATGATGCACAAAATAATGTTGGGCATTAGCAATCTCAATGAAGAGGAAGGGAACTTTCCTAAAATAGGAGGGAGTTGGGTTTAACGCTGCTTTTAACATTATTCCAGTTATATCACGGCGTGTCAACTTAATATGGGAGGGAAGCCCGAAGTGATGCAGGTCTAAGATGTTTACCACTTCCGTGAAACCCATGAGCACGGGTATGGTGCTGACAAACCTAGAAACATAATCGTGGCGAACCGGGATTCGAACCCACAATCATAGGTTTCTGGCGTGCCCGAGGGATGCAACTTGCACAGCGAATCGCGGCGCCTTAGACGACTAGGCCACCTGGACCCCCTTCTAAAATAGGACTGCTTATTATTATGAAAAGATACTCATGAAGCCAGCAGATGAAGCAAACGTTTTCTTCTAGCACACTTACATTCCAAAGGGTGTCAGACTCGCTGACTTGGTTGCTGCATGTCATCGATCCCAATTACGTGGATCGATGCTCAGGATGTTAATCACTGGATTGTCTGGTCCAGACTTGATTATTTACAAACCGCCGCCATATAGCTGGAATATTGCTGAGTGCGGCGTTAAACAACAAATCAACCAACCAACATTCCAAAGATCACACTGAAACATCTTTATGAATAATGCCCTGTGGGACACTTGAAAAAATAGGCATTTCTATCTTTGAAATATCTTTTCCAACTTGATTGTATTATGGTCTATCTGTCTGTCTGTCTGCTAGGACTTTATCTTGGATTTTTAACCAAGTGCCCCTGGCAGACAAATTGGGAAAAACATTTCTTTTGTTCAAAATGGGGATTTGTTAAAAGTTCATAACTTAATAAATTCAGAGGTATTTGGAGATTGCATTGAATGCAATAATATAAAACAAAGCATTAAAACCTGTTCTATTTATTGGCCGTGTAATATCTGTGAATACAGGCTACTTCTAAGCCAAGATATTAGTTGTTATATATATTAGTATATTGTAACATGATTTGGGAAATTTTCAGTTCCAAAAATGGGAAATTTTAATTACATTTGCAGCAGCCTTGGGGTTGAATATCGGCCTTTGAGCACATGTAGTTAAATCCCTGGTCTGTCTGATAATAAACCTTGTATCATACCTTGAGTGCACAGCGTTCTCTTCAAACCACCTTGCATGTCTGACAGCTGCTAGATGACCCTGCATCACCTTACCATCCACTGAAAGAACACACACAAACATAGCAACCACACAATCATGAAGGCTCACAGAATGTTTGCTTACTATTTAGCTTGGGAAGGTTCGTTTGTGTCGTTCATTATAATATATTACATTTGTTTTGGTTGGACAAATCCTGTATAAAGTGCAGGTCATTTATAATAATTACAGTAATATGACTGTATAGAGATAGAGAAGCTCTTGTTTTCTTCATAAGGTTTTTTTTTTAAGGGATGCTGCAGCGAGAGTCTGATAAAGAGAGAGGGAGATAAAGAGAGAGAGAGAAAGAGAGAGAAAGAAATGGATGGGTGAATGTTGAGGAAGAGAGAGGGGAGGAGATAGGGAAGAGAACGTGTGGGCGGAGAGTCTGATGCTGCAGCGAGAGTCTGATAAAGAGAGAGAGAGAGAGAGAGAGAGAGAGAGAGAGATATGGATTGGTGAATGTTGTTGAGGAAGAGAGATGCGAGGAGATAGGGAAGAGAACGCGTGGGCGGAGAGTCTGATGCTGCAGCGAGAGTCTGATAAAGAGAGAGAGAGAGAGAGAGAGAGAGAGAGAGAGAGAGAGAGAGAGAGATATGGATGGGTGAATGTTGAGGAAGAGAAAGGGGAGGAGATAGGGAAGAGAACGTGTGGGCGGAGAGTCTGATGCTGCAGCGAGAGTCTGATAAAGAGAGAGAGAGAGAGGAGAGAGAGAGAGAGAGAGAGAGAGAGAGAGAGAGAGAGATATATGGATGGGTGAATGTTGAGGAAGAGAAAGGGGAGGAGATAGGGAAGAGAACGTGTGGGCGGAGAGTCTGATGCTGCAGCGAGAGTCTGATAAAGAGAGAGAGAGAGAGGAGAGAGAGAGAGAGAGAGAGAGAGAGAGAGAGAGAGAGAGATATGGATGGGTGAATGTTGAGGAAGAGAAAGGGGAGGAGATAGGGAAGAGAACGTGTGGGCGGAGAGTCTGATGCTGCAGCGAGAGTCTGATAAAGAGAGAGAGAGAGAGGAGAGAGAGAGAGAGAGAGAGAGAGAGAGAGAGAGAGATATGGATGGGTGAATGTTGAGGAAGAGAAAGGGGAGGAGATAGGGAAGAGAACGTGTGGGCGGAGAGTCTGATGCTGCAGCGAGAGTCTGATAAAGAGAGAGAGAGAGAGGAGAGAGAGAGAGAGGAGAGAGAGAGATATATGGATGGGTGAATGTTGTTGAGGAAGAGAGATGCGAGGAGATAGGGAAGAGAACGCGTGGGCGGAGAGTCTGATGCTGCAGCGAGAGTCTGATAAAGAGAGAGAGAGAGAGAGAGAGATATATGGATGGGTGAATGTTGAGGAAGAGAAAGGGGAGGAGATAGGGAAGAGAACGTGTGGGCGGAGAGTCTGATGCTGCAGCGAGAGTCTGATAAAGAGAGAGAGAGAGAGGAGAGAGAGAGAGAGAGAGAGAGAGAGAGATATGGATGGGTGAATGTTGAGGAAGAGAAAGGGGAGGAGATAGGGAAGAGAACGTGTGGGCGGAGAGTCTGATGCTGCAGCGAGAGTCTGATAAAGAGAGAGAGAGAGAGGAGAGAGAGAGAGAGGAGAGAGAGAGATATATGGATGGGTGAATGTTGTTGAGGAAGAGAGAGGCGAGGAGATAGGGAGGAGAACGCGTGGGCAGACATGCTACATGCTGCAGTGGGTGTACGTACAATGTAGTTCTGGGTCCAGCTTCTTCAGGTTTGGTGGGATGGTGGTGATCAGACCCTTCACGCTGGCGTCAGCAGAACTGATCTCAAACCCCGAGTCATTTGTCAGCATACTCAGCACTGAAATATAGGACACTTAACCTCAACACACGACGACAGAATCCGGGATAATTGGGATCTTTCCTTTTGTCGATCATCCCAAACTGGCTGCAACAGGAGATGTTGCTCCAGTGAAATACATGGCTCACTTTAAGGACATAACCAGGTGGCACCCTGGTCCTATAAATGTATCAAAGTTGATACAAAGACGCATAATACACTGATGCATCGGTGCATCGCAATTTTTTACTTCTCGATACAAGTATTGATCACAGTCGCACACTAAGTAAAAAATAAACACTAATCAGTACTGCAAGTTAATAGTGAAAACATACATATTTTCATTTGTTGTGCCATACTTGACACTGCCAACTGTAAATCATCAGTGTGCTAGGTATTTGGCCATCCTCTCTATGAAAAAGATGGCTTACCTGCCACAGGTAAGAGCACATGCAAGTATCGTGATACATATCGGATCGTAAGGTATCGTGATACGTATCGGATCGCACAGTTGGTGTATCGCCCCAACCCTATCTGATACCACTGATGACTGTGTTATAAAATACATATAACACAGCTATTAGTGATGTAGAATGATAAATAAAGCATAGAGGTATTGCATGCATTCAAAGATTGCCGTTGTGTGGACAAGTAATGGTTCGTCAGACACAAACTTGCAAAGATATACATGCAATTGGTGCATATAGACATAAATATTAGCTTACATTTTTCAATAGGGTGCCCTGGTGCCTGTTTTCTATAGCTAAATTGAACCCTGAAATACCATTTGCAGACCATTGTGATATCATCGATTACCACTGGGCGTCATTGACGACCCTTGTGACTCTCACCTTCATTGGGTTCCTGCACCTTAAGTTCTTCCAATACTTTGTTGCCTAGCGACGCCACCGCTTCCTCTGAAGAAATACAACCAATATATCTATAATATGGATACTGGTGTACAGCCCAATCTCATGTTAAGTAGCAAACAAAGGAAGCGAGCAAATCCATCTACCAATCTGTTTTGCACTTAAAGGTAATTGAAGAATATGTGTGTATTGTAATCTGTTTGGTTGAATTTTGTTTTAAATGTGATTGAATCCCATAAATCTAAATATTTTTACCCAAATACATTCTTATTTCTAAATCCCAAATTTGAAACATCCCACAGCTTTGACATCGTGACACAGTAACAGTGAAGCCATGAGCAAAAGACAGATCAGGTGAAATTTCTCAACAGCTTCAACTCTTGAACAATTTACCATTTAAACAAAGGCATTTAAATTTAAGGCTTTTGTTCAAATTTGCATAATTTATGGTTGGTTGATTGGTTGTTTAACGCCGAACTCAGCAATATTCCAGCTATATGACGGCGGTCTGTAAATAATCGAGTCTGGACCAGACAATCCAGTGATTGATATCATGAGCATCAATCCACGCAATTGAGATTGATGACATTCATCAACCAAGTCAGCGAGCCTGACCACCAGATACCGTTAGTCGCCTTTTACGACAAGCATAGTCACCGTTTACGGCAAGCCTGGGTTGCTGAAGACCTATTCTATCCCGGAATCTTCACGGGTCACATAATTTATTAATTTATGAACAAATAATAGAATAATAATGTAGTGCAATAGATGTTACACAGCAACATATGATGGCTAATCTGCAAAAGATTCAGTTGAATCAAAGCTGTGTGTTTGGGTATTTTTAGGCGCCTTAATAATAACCATAGAGAGAGCACTTCAGAAAATTACTGGTAACTTTTGTACTTTACAATGTTGATAGCATTGTTGATTCTCCCTGGCATAGAAGACTGTTTGTTTGTTTTTTGTTTAACGCCGCACTCAGCAATATTCCAGCTTTATGACGGCGGTCTGTAAATAATCAAGTCTGGACCAGACAATCCAGTGATTGACATCATGAGCATCAATCCACGTAATTTGGACCAATGACATACGCTAACCAAGTCAGTGAGTCTGACCACCCCATCCTGTTAGTCGCCTCTTACGACAAGCGTTGTCGCCTTTTAAGGCAAGCATGGATTGCTGAAGACCTATTCTACTCCGGATCTTCACGGGTATCATAGAGAACTGAATAGCACCAACATATCAATGATACAGGTAAGATTCTCTGTCTTGTTTGTGGGTATGCCTACGTATATCTACCACTGATAGGCTACAGATGGTCTTTAAAAGATCTGAGTAGTTATACAAATCATACCATGGAAACATCCAAAAATGCCTGAAATTGGAAACAGGACATGCCTTGAACTAGTTGAAGGGGGACAACTCTTGTTGGGCAAGAAGGGGGGTAACTCTTGTTGTAACTCAATTTCAAAGAGAGGAGTAATGTTCACTTTTTACTTAGGGACAATATTTATGAGAAAGTCAATTGACATTATGACAATTATTTCATTAAGAGGCTTTTGCCCGATCCCAAACATTGTGTCCTTTTGGAGTGTGAGATGGCTGGGTTTTATTCCACTTTGAATTTGAAAAGTATTTCAGTTATATCCCAGTGTGTCAGCGTAAAGAGCGAGGAAAGACTACCACTAAAACAATGAACACACACATGGCGTGAAGCTGTGATTCAAACCCACAATCATCAGATCCTGGCACAAATAAGGAATGCAACAGAACACAATAAACTGCAATACCATGACATGTGGCAACCCTCATTCCCACATTACCCATAAGAAAAGTTAAAATAAGTCCAATGTGGACCCCAAAATACCACTATCATTAAACCGTACACCTATAATCTGTCATTCGGTGTTCGTTCAACGTGGCCCACATTCAGCAGTGTTCCAGCAATAGGTTTGTTTGTTTGTTTGTTGTTTAATGCTGCATTCAGCAATATTTCATTCAGCTATGTGATGCTGATCTATGCTGTCAGTGTACCAGGGCACTACTAAAAGTCACTTATCCTGCCCATCCATTTGGCCTCTTACAAACAAGGGGCACGGGTGGCCCAGTCATCTAAGGCGCCGCGATTCGCTGTGCAGAGTTGCGTCCCTTGGGCACGCCAGAAACCTATGATTATGGGTTTGAATCCCGGTTCGCCCCAATTATGTTTCTAGGTTTGTCAGCACCATACCCGTGCTTGTGGGTTTCACCGAAGTGGTAAACGTCTTAGACCTGCATCACTTCGGGCTTTCCTCCCACATTAAGCTGACACGCTGTGATGTAATTGGAATAATGTTAAAAGCGGCGTTAAACCAAACTTACTCACTCACTCTTACAAACAGCATAGTTCTAACCCAGAATCCCCACGAGGGGTCCAGCTATATGGCAAATAATTGAGGCTTGGCAAGACCAACCTCATGGCCATTATTATGAGCAATGAGACACGGCATTGGGGTACAGTTCCATGTCATCACATAAGTCAATGAGTGATCACCAAATCCATAAGTACCCTCTTACGCCAAGCACAGCTTGCTTGGCCCCGTTCCACAAAGTGATTGTAACTCACATACTCTTAACACAGAATTACAGCCTGCATAGCCCTATGATCGTTCGTTGAAAGTGGGGCCCTCGGGACCGATTCTAAACTGGTGAGTTAAGATGAAATGTGCATGAATGTGTGTGTGGCTGCTTGTACTTGTCTTGACTGATGCTAGCCCACTGAGAAACCACACAGCAGTTTAACATGAATACGTCACTCAGACACAGTATACTGACTCCGAGCCGACCAGTCCTTGTTTTAGCCCCTTAATGCTGTGCGCCAGACAGGGTAACAACAAGTACCATCTTTTAATGTTTTTTGGTACGACCCCAGACCTTCCGCTCTCTGGACGGACGCTCTACAACCAGACCATGGAGGCAGACTTCTAACCTGGAATCCCCTGTGGGGAAAACAATGACTATGTGTGGCAGGTGCGTTATATTATCTGACTTACTTGTAGGTAGAGTCTTCAGCATGACAACAATATCTGCAACATTGTGACCGCCCATCATGGTGCCTTTCTTGAAAGATCCAACTTGTCGCACCTCCTCCACTTGCTGCAACACGAACAAGATGGGATTGCTTGCATGTGAGTATGTTAGTGTGTGTAGTTTGTTTAACTCTGCACTCAGCCATATTCCAGCTATATGACACAGGCTATAAATAATTGAGTCTGGACCAGACAACCCAGTGATTGATATCAAGCTCATTGATCCAAGCAAAAGGGATACAATGACATGCATCTACTTACAGCGGCATCGAATGTGCCGGGTGCGATGACCAGGTTGTCCAGGATGCCCTGAATCTTGGTGACGAGGGCCAGGATGGAGGCTTGCTCCTGAGCTGTAGGGGTTAGGTCTGTGTTCCTCTTTAACAGGGACTGCAACACAAACAGCCATCAATAACTCTCCTGGACTCCATCTTCAAAACTCTTTTAATTTAGCAGTCATTTGTTCAGGAAATACTCAAACAAGCAGAAGAGTGATTAGTAAAAAAAAGCAGTAAAATGCTCGATCTGGATGACATGGGTATGACAAGGAAACATTTTATTGGTTTGTTGCTTAATGCCGTACTCAGCAATATTCCAGCTTTTTGACGGTGGTCTGTAAATATTCAAGTCTGGACCAGACAATAAGCGATCGACATCACGAGCCTCAATCTACGCAATTGATATATTTTGTAGATGTTGCTTCTTACAACAAGCTTGTTTGCTATTACTTGCTGAAGACCAAATTCTAACCTGGATCTTACAAAGAACAAAAGGGTTTAGGACGACACCAATAACACTTGCCAGGACTGCCATTTGCCCCAAGTCTAGTGTCTCTTGAGCCCCTTGGTTCTGAATACTGGCACTAACAATATACGAAAATGCCTGAACTCGGAATTACCTCAGTGAGAGCCTTCTCCTCTGGGGCTGTCTTGGCACGGGGAAATGTTGACTCGCACTGAAATTTACAAAAATATAATGACATCTACAGTTCCTTGATCGGAATAATTACACGTGACCTCAATCATACACATTATTGACCAGTTATTCTAAGACGTGACTCACATGATGTACTCAGTAAATAATGAAATGGCAATCAAACATATTGAGAACATGGGGAGAAACGCACATTAGAAGTAGGCGACCTCAGTCGCTGGTCTGCCTGCCATAGTCTCTAGTAAAATAGATCTCTATTTGGTTTAGTATGAGTTTGGTTTTGTTTGTTTTGTTTGTTGTTTAACGCCACACTCAGCAATATTCCAGCTATTTGACAGCGGTCTGTAAATAATCGAGTCTGGACCAGACAATCCAGTGATTGACATCATGAGCTTCCATCCACGCAATTGGGATACAATGACATGCATCAACCAAGTCAGGAAGTCTGACCATCCGATCCCGTTAGCCGCCTCTTACAAAAAGCATAGTCACTTTTTACGGCAAGCGAGGGTTGCTGAAGACCTATTCTACCCCGGATCTTCATGGGTCGGTTTAGTAAGATCACTACTCAGTAACCAGAGTCTGGTGAAATGATCTACACTTGGTCTGGTAAGATCAACTAATACTACACCAAATACCGAGAATGTACTAAGGCTGGGACAATACACCAACTATGTGATCGGATACACACCATGACATCCTGCTCATGATCCGATACATATCAACGTACTTGCATGTGCTCTTATCTGTAGTGAGTAAACCATATTAATAAACCAGTAAACGGCATTACAGGATGTTATTTCCTTATTTTATCATATTAATAATAGGTAATGAAAGAAAGTCTACTGTACATGCTGTAGTGCTCAGAGAGTGGATGCGGTCAAACTGTGAATAAACAATATATTAACCAAACAGAAATAGAAAACCCTTGATTGAGTGGGGGAGTATGGCTTTAAGCAATCTCATTAAAATCAGATCTCGCTGCCGGTAAACAAACATGTGAGGACATCCCATTACAGGTCACGTCAGAACGACCTTTCGCAAGCTATGACTGACCACTGAAATGACTAACAAGAAGTCGACATCAGCCAATTTAGAAAGCAGCTTTCTCGAGACTTTTCGGCACTCATTTTAACCTGGCGACTTCCATTTCAGATTACGCTTGAAAAATATGTTGACACAGTTCTTGATTAAAATATTGAAAACTGAACACACGAACATTCCGGAATGCCTAATATATGGTTGAGATTGTATGGCAGTGCTTCCCATGTACGTGCAAACGCCTCCTCCATTCAAATGTTTATCCCACGGAAGCAAGAGACAGACGATAATTTTGACAGAATCAGTTGTACGTTCGGAATACACCGTGTTAATGTTTTCAAGTTTGCATGATTAGAATACACATTCCGACTGTCACTTTCATGATCTGGTAAGCGATGCTTTGATTGGTTGGATGAAAGGTCATTCTGATGCCACTTTTAGCAATATTCCAGCAATATCACATCGAGGAACAACAGAAAAGGGCTTCACACATTTTAACCATGAGGGGAATTTAACCCAGGTCTTCAGCATGACGAGCAAACACTTTAACCACTAGGTTACACCACCGCCCGCCCTGGAGTTTACCAGTGTTTACCAATCAGAATCCTGTAAATACCAGAGAGCAGCTTAGCATAATGAGACAGCCACAAGCTAATTTGCATATCATGTGACCAGGTGAGGTGAGGTGAAATTGGGTTTAACGTCGCGTCCAAGATTATTGCACTTATATAGCGACGTGCATGCATGTGTGTGTGTGTGTGGCTGCTTGTACTAGTCCGGACTGATGCCGATTTATAGTGCTAGCCCACTGAGATACCATGCCGCAGTTTAACATGAATACCCCACTCAGACACAGTATACTGACTCCGAGCCGACCAGTCCTTGTTTTAGCCCCTTAATGCCGAGCGCCAGACAGGGTAACAACAAGTACCATCTTTTAACGTCTTTTGGTATGACGCGGACGGGGATTGAACCATGTACCTTCCGCTCTCCGGGCGGACGCTCTACCACTAGACCACGGAGGCTGTCTCATGCGACCAGACCCTGAACATGTTTGTAAACCCTTATCATCATGATCATGTACATCATTGCTTATTCCGATATCAGAACAGTTTGAAATACTGTTAAACATGTTAAAAGCAGCGTAAAATCCAACTCACTCATTCAAAATTAAGTATCAAATAATGTGATGAAAATGGCAGTTCTCACCTGTACCAAGTCAAATGGTATATGGGGGATAAATGCTCTGAATCTGAAATGGAGGAAATACTGATTAAACTCCTGTACCATCAGACAGTCACTCAGTTTCCTATGCAATTGCTGATCACAGTGAATCATACAAAAAAACAATGGCATACTGTATTCGACATAATAAGTGCCCCCGGAAATATTTGCTAATATATTGGCCAGTGAACAATCCCAATTAGGACCCTTTCTGATTGATCAATGTACACAAGACTTATTTATTCGTGTTTAATATGCACTCGTGTGTTATATGCACCCTTAATTATGGGCAATTAAATTCTCAAAAATATATCTGTTGTGTATAATAAGCACAGATTCTTCTTTTATATCATTTCAGGCTGTCAGCACAAACCACAAAATTTACAATCTTTCATCTCTGTTTTTTATCTCACCAAAATTATATTCCAATAAGAGACCCCTATTTCTAATTTTGAGAGCGACCTAGGCGCTTACTACGTCGAATACGGTATTTAGACTATTGTATGAGCAACAGGAATAATACGTTCTGAATGGACTTAAGGTTTACAGTCTCGAGCCTTGGTGAGGTCAGGGTTAATGTCACGAGATCTCAATCAAATTACAGAATAAAAACTTACAAAAGTTGCTAGAAAGTGATATTATACTTTTTTTTGCTATCATGAACATTGCAATTGAGTTATATTAATGATATAATTGTATCCTAACATGCTAACCATGCTAACTACGCCAACAACTGTGGAATTAACCTGAAACATGTTTTAATTGTCTGTAAAATATACAATCATGGTCACAGGATATCATTGATGAGAACACACCCATAAAGGTCTGGAATTCCACTAGCATTAAACAAATGCTGAAGATACTCTTAACATGCTTAACATTTGACAAATGGACTCAAGCTATTTCATGCAACAAAACATATATATTACATGTATTAAGTATCAATACATCTTGATATATGTACTGTATCATGGAATAAATATAGCTATAGGTTATGACACCCCTAAATCCTAGCATGTACATACGGAGGTCCAGGTTTGAATGGGGGATGCGATGGTCTCATCCCTCCCCTCATCGGAGGTCCCCCACGTCCTCGGAGATTCCTGGAACGGAGCATTGTCAGGGTTAGAACTAAACTTGATATCTCCCCTAACAAGGGTATTTGTTGTTTGTTCATCACATTCAGGACATAAAATACATAACACAAGTAAGTACATGTTAAAATATCTTTCTGATCAATACGAGTCTTTGAAAGGCATTTAGAAGTAATACTCACAGTGGAGGGAACTTATGGATGTCAACCTCATAAAAAAGAAGTTGACATCCATAAATACTCTTTCTTACTGGTACGGTTTCATTGACATACAGACACAAAAGATTTCCGCTTGCGAGATGTGTCTGCCATTGTAACTTTATCAATACTGAATATCCCCACTCTAGTTGCCAAATTTTGAAGACATCTCATGTATCCACTCCAAGGCCAAGAACTAATCACTGTTTTAATATTGTTGATTGTGGGTGTAAATTGAGTACAAAGTGTCAGTACTTAATCAAATTAATCACTTGCCTTCTATTGTTTATAGCCGATTTGATAGCCTATTAGCATGATTAGGCTGATTGGTGACGCATGAGCAGTTCAGACATTAACAGTTTGTTACAAACATAAACTTTGTTGTGGACAGAGTACACACCGGACCACAAAGTGAGTTCGCTATATCCATAACTTCGTTCTAAGCATGTTCGTTATATCCATCAATTTTATATGATAAAATAAACAGCAAATGGCCAGGACTAAACAGAAAATTTCACTATATCTGTGTTCGTTATAAACATTTCGCAGCCCCAAATGAATGGCCTGTTTTGTTTAACAATAACATACTATGTTCACCAGTACTTCCTTTCAAGGATCCAAGCATTAATGATACAGTTGGGGGTAACGTACCGAAACACACCTAACCCTAATGACCGATTAGGCTCGCGAGACTGGTGAAGCGTTTCTAAATAGGAGTAGTGGTTGGTTGGTTTGTTGTTTAACGCTGAACTCAGAAATATTCAAGCTATATGACGGCGGTCTGGAAATAATCGAGTCTGAACCAGACAATCCAGTGATTAATATCATGAGCCTCGATCCACATAATTGGGATCGTAAAATGCATCAACCAAGTCAGCGAGTCTGACCACCCGATCCTGTTAGTCGCCTTTTACGACAAGCATAGTCACCTTTTACGGCAAGCATGGGTTGCTGAAGGCCTATTCTACCCTGGAATCTTCACGGGTCAAATAGGAGCAGTGCACTTTATTGGATTTTCAGGTTTCAATTAGCACTGGGTGGTGGATCGAACTCATGTTTCCAGTTTGAAGCTAAGCTAATGGGTTAATCTAACTAACCAACATTTTACCATGGGATCACAACACTATCACAAATAATTAGTGCTCGTTTAACATCAGCACCCGATTGTTTACCTTTAGGCCACAGGCGCAGTAGCCATTTTCTCAATGAAACACGAAACTTGATAAAACTTGTTCGGACTTTCCTCAAATTACATTGGATTAACTTGTTAAAAGAGATGGCTGAGCTGAATATGTGACCCTAACTTGAGATGGTTAGCACACCCTCCCTCACAACTGACCCTTAGGATCATAACAGGCTGCCCAACACTAACCTAAAGACAGCGGTAGAAACTCACAGTTTCAGTCCACTAGTCCTTATAATGATAACAAATAGCAAAACCCCTAAAAATGGCAAATTTCTACTAGTCCTTATGATACCTTTACTATTGGGCAGTTTGGCAAGGACTATAGGCATGATAGGAATAGTGCCAATTTCTAACGCTGAAAGGGTTATTTGTTTGGCAAGTGGTGCCCAACCCTTGGGACTATGAAGAGGTGTCCGATCGTAAAGGGGTACCTAACCCTTATTATTGTAAAGGGGTGCTTGATAGGAAAGGGTGCAAGGGCAGTTTGTCATACAGACCCTGATACAAATATATCCAATGCAAGTCTATAATGTTTGGAAAGTCTAGATTACAGCAGTATCTTAAAATGAAGAGAGTCTCCTGGACCCTTCTTATAACATTTTAATTAAGATAATTTCACAACTGTTTTTGTCAGTAAGATATGTTAATCTAGGGCCAAGGGCTAAGGATAGAGTCTCAGGGGTAGCGGGGGATAGGGAATAACCTACCCTAACCCAAGCACAGCTAACCCAATTAGGATCGAAGAGGCACACGAGATCTGTGAAGAGAGAGCGGCAGCCTTAGGCAATAGAGCTATATAAGCTGCGCCCGGTAAACTGCATTGTTGCCAATTATGCTTCTTGAGGTCTAGTCTTTATTATACTAGCCTAGTCCTTGGGTAACATTCTCACAACACAATAACACGTTTAGCGTTTTGACAATTCCGACTGTATCTTGCAGATCGTATTGCACTTCTTTCTGTTCCGTACAATCTCTCCCTTGAAATACAACACCGAGTGCATGCAGCAGCTCTCAAACCCAATTAAAGCAATAATGTTGACATATTTACCTCATATTTGTGATATTTTGATTCACGTGTATGGCGTCCGGATATTGTGTACCGGGTGACGATTGCGCATGCGTAAAAATTACGCACTCGATGCTGTGGATAGCGGTGTCGGTTCAGTCAATGAAAATGTGGGCACACGATGTGCAGAGCTTTGTGGCTAGGTTTTAATCATTCGCTACTATTCGGGTCTTTCCGCTAGAAATGTTCGGTTACATTCGTCAATATCCGTTACTGATTCGGGTTTTGTCCAGTCATGTTCCCACATTTAGGAGATTGTGTTTGGAAATTTGATGTAGTCCTACTGTAGAGTAGATACCTCTTATTTCAATTTGGAACCGAGTGCTTTTTCGAGCACAGCGTTCGTTTTCACACCTAACTTATTTTGCTTGATTTCATCCATCCACTTCGTATTGGTGACAATTAAAGACCATTGGTCATTTGATTCTAAAATGTATGAGGGATTCAAGGATGTGTGTATCGCAGCTAAGTTTGAAATATACGTGATGTTTCAGGCGCCTCATAACCGGTGTACCTGAAACGTGATTTTGTGAGCACTATCCAATATGGCGGAAAGTTCACTTCGGCGTTGGTGTTTGCGTATTTTCCAAAACATTCTAAACGATTCTAGGGTTATCGGAGACGTTTTGGAATGATCATTGGTGATTTTCTAAAAGTCAGTTGCCCGTGATCACTAATATGCTACTTTTGAAATTCATTTCTCCGAGTAAATATCCGAACTTTAGATTTCAAAACATCATGTAAATAACGCCGTGAGTGGTGATTTAGTAATGTGTAAAAAAATGGCGACATTTACGATGTACCTAATTTTCAGAGGTCATTTTCAGTACTTTTGCTTGGCCTAAAATGCCAGTGGATGATACCACAGAACAGGGAATTTCCCACCTTATTCAAAACTGTGAAGTGTATAAGTGTGCATGATGTATTTTGAATTTTATTCGACTTCAAAATGAGGGTTGTAGAGGAGGGACATATATGTCCCTGTGGCATAACGAAGCAGACGTCTCCCGACACCGTAGGGTTTCTTAACAGTTATCACAACGAACAGAAGCTTCCTGTGTAAATAGGCACAGCTGGTAGCCTTGATAGCATATCTGCTATTATGTTACTTATATACTATATTTGCTACTTATATTCTGTATATATGTAACTTCTATACACTATATCTGCTTCTTATATACTTTATATATATGGTACTTCTATATACTATATCTGCTACTTATATACTGTATATATGTTACATTTATATACCATATCTGCTACTTATATACTGTATATATGTTACTTCTAAATACTATATCTGCTACTTATATACTGTATATATGTTACTTCTAAATACTATATCTGCTACTTATATACTGTATATATGTTACTTCTAAATACTATATCTGCTTCTTATATACTGTATATATGTTACTTCTAAATACTATATCTGCTACTTATATACTCATTAGTCTGTATATATGTTACTTCTAAATACTATATCTGCTTCTTATATACTGTATATATGTTACTTCTAAATACTATATCTGCTACTTATATACTGTTTATATGTTACTTAGATACTATATCTGCTACTTATATACTGTATATATGTTACTTCTATACACTATATCTGCTACTTATATACTGTTTATATGTTATATCTATACACTATATCTGCTACGTATATACTGTATATATATGGTACTTCTATATACTATATCTGCTACTTATATACTGTATATATGGTACTTCTAAATACTATATCTGCTTCTTATATACTGTATATATATGGTACTTCTGTATACTATATCTGCTACTTCTATACTGTATATATGTTACTTCTATATACTATATCTGCTACGTATATACTATACATATGTCCTACTTATATATTATGCTATATCTACTACTTATGTCCCGTGGATATTCCGGGGTAGAATAGGTCTTCAGCAACCCATGCTTGCCGTAAAAGGCGACTATGCTTGTCGTAAGAGGCGACTAACGCGATCGGGTGGTCAGGATCGCTGATTTGGTTGATGCATGTCATCAAATCCAAATGGCGTGGATCGATGCTCCTGAATGCAATCACTGGATTGTTTGGTCCAGGCTCGATTATTTCGAGACCGCCGCCATATAGCTGGAATATTTAATTCTGAGTGCGCCGTTAAACAACAAACAAACAAACTTAGTAATAATTATTTCTAGATCTACTATTAATATAATATATCTGCTACTTATATACCATATCTACTACCGGTGATTAAATACTGTATCTGGCACTTATGTACTATATCTTCTGCATAAATATTATATTTGCTACTTATACACTATATCTGCTACGTGTATACTATAGATACTATATCTACTATTTATATACTATATCTGCTACTTTTATATTAGACTCGTGAAGATTCCGGGGTAGAATAGGTCTTCAGCAACCCATGCTTGCCGTAAAAGGCGACTATGCTTGTCGTAAAAGGCGACTAACGGGATTGGGTGGTCAGGCTCGCTGACTTGGTTGATACATGTCATCGACCCCAATTGCGTGAATCGATGCTCATGATGTTAATCACTGGATTGTCTGGTCCAGACTCGATTATTTTACAGACCGCCGTCATATAGTGTTGGAATATTGCTGAGTGCGGCGTTAAACAAACAAACAAACAAACAAACAAACAAACAAACAAACAAACAAACTTATACATTACATATACTATATGAACTATATCTACTACTTATATACTATATAAACTGCCGGGCAATAGTACATTATCACTTGTAAATTATGTTTTATCTGTAATAAAGACGGTGCGATAAGTTAGAACGTTATCACAAAACATTCACCAAAACACACCCTGTGCACACATGAAAGTCTCTTTTTGTAGGATGCAGTGAAATCAGTGCAGTCAAGCAAAATGGGAAAAACATGATTTGGGGAACTGTAAAAAATGTTCGTGCATGGTTGTTGCATAAATATCGGCATGGGACAGAGCAAGGATGCAGCATCAAAAAGAATATCAGAAAAATGCCGAGACTCACACAAAAGGCATGTGACAGCTATTGGTATGGCCCATATAGGGGCATCTCAACAGCAGATTGCCGACTGAATGAATGCATGTCATCGTAACCTAGTTGGATCGATGCTCATGATATCAATCACTGATTGTCTTATCCAGACGCAGTTATTTAAAGACCGCCGTCATATAGCTGGGATATTACTGAGTGCGTCGTCAAGTAACACTTATATACTAAACTGACGTCCAAAAGAAACTTTACCAGAGTTTGAAATCACTCTTGCTAAAAAACAACAAAACATACATGCATGAAGTAAAGTGTATTGAGAAGATCAATATATCAACATAATCAACAATGAAAATGTCAATCATACCGCGACCGAGAATGACGTCAGAGCCCCCCAAAGTTGGGTGTGGTACAAAACTCGAGTTTCAGAATCATGGACAATAGGCAGAGTACATAAACAATCGCTCACGTTCAATAACAAGTCATTAGTAGCGTGTGTGACCACCAAATGCCTCAATACACGCAAAAACTCTTCGACGCACAGAAAAAGTCAGTCGTCTGATGAGGTCACGTGGGATTTGACGCCATTCTTCTTGGAGAGCCAAGATCAGTTCTTGGAGAGCCAAGATCAGTTCTTGCCGGTTGGCTGGAGAGTGTGGTCGTTGTCACACGACGATCCATCAAGTCCCAGAGGTGTTCTATGGGGGACATGTCGGGTGAGCGTGCAGGCCACGGCAGGTCGTTGTCGTTGTTGGCTGAGAGGAAGTTAGTGACAATTCTGGCTGTATGGGCTCTAGCGTTGTCATGCTGATAAATGACACCACGTGGCTGCTGTTGGAGAAATGGTAGGACAACTGGACGAAGAATGTTATCTATGTGACGCTGAGCTGTCAAGTTTCCGTCAACGATGACCAGCGGTGTCCTCTCCTGCTCACAGATCCCTCCCCACACCATGACACTCCCTCCACCATATGGTACGACCTCCTGCACGCAACACGCCGCCGTTCGTTCACCCCTTCGGCGGTAAACACGTTGTCTTCCATCAGCCCGAAACATACAGAATCGACTTTCGTCAGTGAAGACAACCCTCTGCCAGTCACGTCATTGCCAACGTCGTACAGTCCGGGCCCATCTTAATCGCAGACGACGATGTTGCGCTCTCAATAGCTGTCCTCTGTATGGTCTAAAAGCCCTGATTCCATGAGCCCTGAGTCTCCTGGCCACTGTCTGTCGACTAACCCTGTGACCTAAGGCATTTGTCGCCGATGACGTCACTGTCAGGAAGCGATTTCGGAGGTGCAAGGTACGCAAGTACCGGTCATCATGGGGCGTGGTCACCCTGGGTCTGCCTGTTCTTGGCCTGTCAGCGGTCCGCCCTGTCTGTCTGTAACGTTGCATCAAGTTGGAAACGGCAACACGGGAGCAACCAAAGGTTCGTGCAATATGGGCGTGGGTGGCTCCCATCTGTACCATACCCAAGGCTCGTTCACGTTGTTCGACTGTAAGTCGTGGCTTTTCTTTTGTGTTTTTAATCACCGTGGATGTCTTACTTGCCGTTGCAATCGTTTTATACCCTTACACACACGTGCATTTGCAGTTGTCCGTGGTGCACGTGTTTTTCACTTTTTCGCGTGTTATCTCGCAAACATATAACAGACGATTAACATTTTCTGCATACATTATTGTTGTATTTAGGTTATGTGTTTTAGATAGACTTCATCGAACAAATTTTTATACTTTGTCTCAAATTTATATTTTCAGTTGGTAAAGTTTCTTTTGGACGTCAGTTTATATCAGCAACTTATATACTATATCGACTGTTATATGGCGGTGTACTTTTATGTTGAAGAATATTTGTATATGTGTTTCATTGTTTCTGTTGAAATTCGGCAGATGCTCATTGGAGTGCATTGTATTTGGACCGTGACCCGGTGTCAGGAATGTAGTACTATTTAATGTAAGCAGTTTTAAGGAAGTTACTATATTCAGGTGCTGGTGTGGCGTGTAAGCTTCCGGTTTACCGATTTTTTAAATTCCGAATTAATTGTGTCGAAGACGAAAAGCATTTTCTTCTACAATGTC